GAAAAAAGACCGTCTGGACCATTCATGTTCATGTTTTATCCAACAAATAACTTGAACACAAAAAAGACACAAATTGCACATAAAAGCTTATTTATTGAAATTAAAACACGTAAACTGCAATTCGATGTAATTTGACAATAGTATATTATAAGTCTTCCTTTCCTCCTATTCTGAAAATAATTCCGTTCAAATTGCAAATCTGTTAAAATCCGTAATTGTCCAATGTATTTTTCCCATTAAAATGCCTACTGTAACTCCCCGTTAAAGCTTGTGTCGACCGAAGTAGTAATGGCGCATAGGCTTTCGTTAAGGAAAAGGAGGTCAACAACGACAGCAATATTTCTTCTTCCATTTTGTGAGAATGCCTTCTTCATGAAAGAAAGTCCCCCTCAAATGTCTCCTCACTCCCTTCAGTTCGCTTTGAAACTCGACAAATGTGTCTGGAAAGCCGGCGTTCTATACAAAATATTTCCCCGATTGAATCCTATTGCACTAGCCGGTTTGTATAGTAATACATTGGGACTGCACTGTGTCTATGAGCGGCTGCTGCTGCCTTGGTTTCTATGAGCTCCTAATGGCCGCTCGTCTTCATCCACTAACATGGAGAATATGGCTCCTTCTCTTTGTGTCAACGCACAGCCATGCGATAGAGGGCAGAGCGACCGCGGCGACCACTCTACTTCAACCCCCGAATTAAACCCTTTAACATCATCGGAAAAATATTGCAATAGCATTGTTGGAATCACGAAAGATTGGTCTTTCTTTTCACGTCGTTACATTTGATAGTTACCGGTTTGTTTTTCGAGAAAACCCGGTTAGAAAAAGTTGATCTGAACTGCGCCTCTGTCACTAGCCTCGCTGCCTTTCCTCCTATGCGAATACAGTCAGCCATTACAGTAAAAGCGCAGATCGTGAGGTAATTTTTTCACCATCTTCTCGGGAGAATTATAGCAAACAATCATATGGACTTGTATACTTTGAAACATTCTTTCTTTTTCTCATGTTTTTGTAATTTTTTATGTTTGCATTGCATATCCCGTACGCTCTCCAGTCTTCACATGACAGCCGTTCAGCTTCGCAATGCACTGCAATGGCTAGCAAACGGTGAGTTTTCTACCATTGTCGCTAACGGTGTCGTCCACTAGACATTCCTGAATTTTTACACGATATCCACCGTTCAATTTGACTCCATTTTATAACAATGACACAATAGTAATATACAAAATTATTTATATGCTACAAAATTGACGATTATCGTCGAATTCAGTCAAGGTTAATATTTTGTTCTCGTTTTTTTAAAGAGCGTCTGGACCACACCAGGCAGGGCACTGTAACGTTACCTGCTTTGCGCCGGCTATTTTTTTTGTTTTTTTGACGTTTCATCGCAATAAAATCATTTTCAAACAGTAAGACATAATGTATTCAATCATAGCAAACACATAAGTGAGATATCTAGATTTGTTATCATACTTTTCATCATTAAGAACACTTAGAATTTTCGCGTGTGATACTTACCTAGGGACTATCGCTGGATCTGAATGCTCTGCAATGGCTGTATGTGAGGAACACAGGCGATACGCAGTGTCTTCAGTCTTCAGCTCTCTAACATTACTCTCGACGGGGCTCTCACCCCATTGGCCAGCGCCCGGTCTAACGCTGCTCTGATTGGACGGGGGCTTTTCATTGTCCTAATAGAAGACGAGGTTCGATTGGCTACCTTTTGTGAAACGTCACTGAAATTTTCTGAGGCGCGTGGATACAAAAATATTCCAGTCCCAGCATGCTGGAGCTGGTAGTAGTGTAGTGTGTTTGACATAGTATTGAATTCACTACGTTGAGCACAGTGTACAGTAGGCAAGTTAAATGAATGAGAAAACGTGGGGCGCTTGTAGGCAGTGAACGGACAAGCTGTAAGACGTTGTGCGATTGTGTTGGGTGGGCTGCACACCTCTTCCTCCACCACCTCCATTGTGCATTATCCTCAATATACTTAGCTTATTTGCAAATTATGACTTTGAAAAAATGCATAAAATAAACATCGCACGTTCAAGTGTAACACGCAACGGACTCTTTTTTTTCATTTATTCGCACTTTATAAGACATTTTATAGCATTACGACAGGATTTAGAATGAAAACACAATACCAATTGGGTTAATGACCTGCCTTTTAATTACATTAAACCGTAATTTTCATTTGTCAGAAAATGATATATGTCACTATACCGTAACCACACAGTGTTATATTAGTCTTTTACAAGAAGAATACGTAATAATACTTTTAGCAAGCACTTAATATGTCTGTATTTGAAGTCCCTAATAGGCTAATATAAAAAATATATAAACAGGCATCAAATCATGGTGAAAGCATTTAATATGTATACTAGGACCCAAAGCTTTTATTTTTTTCAGATTTATATGTTTTTTGGGGGTAATTTGAATGGGCTTACAGTACTCATTGGCAAATGATAGTGTGCTCATCTCCAGGTAAAACACAGCCTTATCAAGATCAAAGAGTTACATAGTTTACGCCAACGTTTTTGAATAGAGCATTTTATAGTTAAAAGTATGGCATTTGAGAGTAATTTCAGGTCGACATATATATTTGTTTTATAATTAGACTGATTTAAATATTGCTTGCAGGCCGGTGTTGTGCAATATTTAAATATTTAAACTTGCTGATAAACCCATAGATATAACAGTGAGACTCCACTCTCTACCCCAGACACATGTTCTGTGCAATGCAATGGGTAAAACCCCTAAATTCAACATGCTATAACAATATAGTCAGATTTGAAAAAGACAATATTGAGGTAACATTTATTTGAATATTTATTTTATCTGACATTGTTCTGGACCACATTAATATAAACATATTTTACTTTACAAAACACTGTCCTACTTTTTGATAATTTAATACAAATTAGAGTACAGAATACCCTGTACGCTATACTATACCCTACATCCACCTGTTTTTCTGTCATATGTAGACAACAGCACTCTAAAATACTGTTTTGTTGTGCAGCTGTTAAACTTAGCTCTGCCAAAAGATGTCCAGATGTCATGTGATTATGTGTTTGCTGATTTGTCTGACCAACAACAGATGGTATTAGGTTGCATATATATTAAATGTTCTTCACACATTTAGGCTCTTTAGAAACTAACTGTAATGAGGTGAATGACCCTGTAAAATCACTCTAGCGCCACCATCAGACAAAGATTAGAATTTGTTTAATTAGTGTTTTTCCCAGTATCATTATGCTATCACTTCACTTACTTACTATATTATTGTAATATAAAATGGTTATAGTAATTTTGCATAGTTAATTGTGATTACATATTTTAACTGGATTCAACCCTTACCCTTCCAAAAGGTACAATTCTATGTGTGAACTTGTGACCTAAGCTTTAGCACCACCATAGTTACAAAATATAAAATATCACATAAAATGAGACGAGAAAAAAATGGCAACCATTGACCAAGCTACTGTACACCTTTCAGGATGATGATTTCAGACTGTGAAAAGGCCTTCTTCAAGATGACTTGCTGATTTGGTGGGGGTGGGGTGCCAGAAAAAAAGAGAATGCCCATGTCCTGTTGCAATACATGGAATATGCCCACTGAAGGTGAAATACTCATGCTCATTAAACAATTAACTGTTTCTAAATGCAATTTCTGAGGAAATATGCTTTTCCTTAGCAGCTAATATAGAAACAAAAGAAAAATGGCTGACACAGAATTTTTTCTTATCCTTGAATTAAGAATGGGAAGGGTGAAGTGGTTCCAAATGCCAATCACAACCCAGACTCAGGCCACATGTCTGTGCTGCTGCCTCCCTGTCTGTGTCTCATTTTGCATCAGGAGATGCCGCGGTATAAGCTATCCTGCTCATGAGGAGGCGGCCGGTTTATGCATTCTAATGAGCACTCCCTGGGAAAGATATGCAAATTCATTTTGTCATCAAGAGGAAAATTGAGGACAGGAAAGTAGCAGATACAGGAGGGGCTTAAGGGAAGAGGGCACATGCAAAAGGGGGGGTTGGGTGCGGGGAGACATGTGTGCACACGTCTGTGAATGTGTGCTGAAGAGTAGAGGAGCATGGGGTGTAAGATTTGGGCTGTATTAAAGCACCAGATTGAGGGACATATGTAACCCCCAGCCCCCACTTACCTACCTCTCATATAAATAATACATTCACCTTTTATTACTAGACCAAATCAGTTAACTACAGAATGGGTGAAGAAGAAATCAAATAATCAATATGTATGAAATATCTTTAAAAATAGAATTGACTCTGGGGACTTACTGCTTCAAGTATATTTGACAAATCAGAAGAGACAATCAGGCTTATCCGTTTTAATATTGAAAATCCATCCATCATGTATTACACAATTAATGTAAAAGGATGTTTGTTCTTCTGTTTTATCAGTTTAAAAATATAACCGTTTTGCCTACTACTACTACTACTACTACTACTACTACTACTACTACTACTACTACTACTACTACTACTACTACTACTACTACTACTACTACTACTACTACTACTACTACTACTACTACTACTACTACTACTACTACTACTACTATCCGTTTTAGTGATTGAAAATAAATTAATAATAATAGTAATAATAATTCAATATAACAATAATTGCTTGTTAAAAAGTAAGACTTGTTTCTAAGCAGTTTATAGTTTCCCCTCAAAAACATGCCATTCCACATATCCCTGTAAAAGAATGACTTGGAAGACAAAAACAATGATAACCAAGGCCTAATACTCATAAGCATAAATGAGCATGCTATTAAATAACGTGATTCAATTCAGCGTATCTTTTATCACGTGCATGTTCTCGCATGGATTAGTCCCGATTTCATGGGCAGTGTCGTTTTTATCAACATACAGTACAAGCAGGAACAATAACTTGAACAGAGGCTACTGCAGTTCACTTGAACTACCAAGAGGGGACCAGCGGAACCTTTGTCTGTAAGAGGGGGAAGACAAAGGCCGCTGCACAACCGCCCAACGAGTGGAATAACGACGTTTGTAATACGAACTGGCATAAGGGTGCACATGGACTCTTTGTGGATTAATAAATGCGGCTCTGCGTGGATGAGTTTCGCCGACCTACATCGTTATATTGGATATAATTTAAATCTGGTGTCGGTACGTATATTTATTCATTCACAAATACTGAAAATGAGACTTTAGTGCCTGAATTAATGCCCGGCTCTTGGCTAATATGTTAGCATGCTAGCAGCAAGGTGCAGAGGCTGATGGTTTGGTAACTGCGTGAATTGTTAACTTTAATGTTAGGATTTTAAATAGAGTTTACACATCTACAGTAAGTTTGACAGGTTTAAAAATCAAGCCATTTAAGTATTTATCGAACCCTAGCTAATTAGAATTGACTGTTTTGCATCTTCCTAATTAGTTTGGCTCCTAAAAGGAGTTAACGTGTTCTCTAAAGGCCGCATTTGCCATGGGAAATGCTCATTTACTCAGTGTGTCAATTTAACAGTTTCCCATGTATATTACAATCTCTTTATATTGTTTTAAAGGTTAACACTCATGTGTTAGGTCATAGTGGACCGCTGGTCCCACGTGTGCCAGCTAACATATATCTTAGGTTAGTTTTTGTGAAGATAGTCAGTGAAACAGTTTTTTATCCTGTATTATATCCCGTAATGATTTTTGTTGTTAGCAAAAACGGCTACACCTAATTCTGGATTATTTAAATGTTGACTGTAGACACGTGAAGTAAGTAATCATTAGTAATAGTAAGTAATATACAAAAGTTCACATTATTATTAATATCATTTTAGGAAATCAAGGAATTCTAAATACAGTTACACTCATACAGTAAATTAAATACCTGACAGATCATAATTCTTTATGACATGGATGCGATCCTGTCAAACAAGTATTGCCACAAAGCTTTTGCTCATTGTTTTGCACCATACAGTCAATATAACTTGAAACATTAAAGTGAATGGTATTGCTGTATTAACAATATACCATTATCTAACACATCTATATAGTCTTATGGTCAATTTTGTTCACACAACTCATGTATTGAGTAACATTGCATTATGTGGTGCTGTATTGTTCTCCCCAGCTCCTCAGGACTGGAACCTGGTTGCAGTGACATGGTGTTATTTTTTGAATGGCATCGGACAACTATGGATCAGAAGAGCAGCAGTGGATTGCCAATGACTGGTGAAGACACTGGTTTGGGGGCTTTGGCCTTACCACTGGTGGGGTATTTGGGAAAAGTCAGTAGAGCTCTTGTTTTCCTCTAACAGTTGTCACTTGCGCAAAGCTGAATTATATTTGAAAAAAATACTGTGACTTTGCAGTACCAATCCAAAACATAAAAAGGAAATCTTTAGTAAAAGGCGAAAGATTTTTGGGTAGGCTTGAAGCCTATTATTTATGTTTTTATAAGAAACTGTGTACTACATGATTTTGTTAAAATGATCTATTTAGAAAAATAATCTTATCTACAATTCAATTATAGACCTATTTAAATGTAACTTCATGTATACTTCATCCCATTAATAACGATGAGTGAAAACGTGAAGCCAAAATCTAGAGTGAAAAAAGAAAAATCACTAAAAACTGAACATTTCTGTCAGCAGTTTTACTCTTGCTTGTATGCGTCACCCCTGCAAGGTAAATCAAATACAAAATTCTAATTTTCTTTTGTTAGTTTAATGCATGTACAGATGTGTATATAAATGTGATTGGACGAATACAATGAATGCTGCTGACAGTGGTGGAGAAAGATGCTGAAATATGACAGTGAAGTGGGTAGGTAGAAATCCATTCATCTGATACACATGTATAACGTTTTAAAAACATTTTTGTATGAATTGCAAAAAAATAGATGTAAGTTTTACACAGATTTGCATGTTCTTTAAAACTGTTTGATAACTTGTGTTTTAATATGCTACAGTGAAACAATCATCCTTTTTTGTGGCATATCGAATTAATACCATGTTTCTGTGATCTTAATGATCTTTTTGAAGGTTCAGGAAAGAGCCGCTTCACTTGAGTATTGTCCATGGTGTACCTCGAAGGGCTCGACCTATGCTCTGCGCTCTTATCGCATCAACCTCCAGGAGTCCATCACACTCTGCACAAACCCACAGGTAAGTCTTAGTTCATCACAAACATCCAGCTGAACAGCCATGTTTTATGCTTTTCTTTCAAGCAGCCATGTTAAAATCTTTCTGTTTTTGTTTCTTCATAGTGCCTTTTCCCCCTGGTCAGCCGCTCCTTGGAGGATGTTTTGGCCAGCTTGGTTCCTGTGGAGCCCTCAGTTGGGAACAAGAGAAAAAAAGAAGGAGGAGAGTTGATTGGACCAGTACACAAACGCCTGCGACTGAATGAATCCGACAGTCTTGGACCACAAAGCATTACGGACGACCTCATGAAAGAAGCCGGGCAAGGTGCTTTAAACTGTGTCATTAATGGCCAACATGCAGCACCAAAGGCAGGCGATGAAAGAGTTAATGGATATAAGGATTCTCCAGTTGTAGAGACACCGCTACAGGAGTCATTACAATATGAAGATGATATTTTGGACCAGGAACCAGAGAATGCCACTTGTACGGATGTTTTTGCTTCTGCTACACGTTTGACTCCAGCTGGACTCCTGCAGTGCTCATCAGAAGCCGCGTTGACCTCTGATGCGGCTGAGGTTGCACTTTCTCATCATCGTGTTTCTCCTGATGTGTCAGAGGCCGAGGATGACGTCTGTCAGGAGAACAGTCCTCCTGAGGCGCTGAACAGACGCTGCAGTCTGGACTCCGATCAGTCCTCTTTTGCAATTGATTCAAACGGAATCAATACTCCATCACCTCCGCACAATGAACAGACAGCCAGGACTGCAAAGAAACCATTGACTACAGACAGCATCACATGTAAGGACTTGGACAGCATTAAGTCCAAAACAGAGTGTTTGTCCCCTACCAGGATAACCACGCAGTCAGACGAGCTTGTATCTTCTCCGAATCATCTTTTCTGGAATAACTGTGACAACCTGTGTTGGCTGGACTCGATGCTTATTGCTTTGGTGAGCTGTAAGAGCTTGAGAAGGAGTAAACCCAAAGATGAGCCTCAGCAGTCTTCTGTCTGGCAGCTGATGAGAGGATATGAAGATGTTTGTGCTGCCACCCAACTCCATCAACAGACTGACAGAGGTATGTTGTGCACATCCCTGAGCTCTATTGTATCTTCTGCTACTGCAATACAAAAGAGCTGCTTGTTCTAAAACAGCACATTCAATATTACATCACATGCCTTTAGGGTTTTTTCTAGGAGAGGTCAGAAGCCATAAATGGCGCATTAAGGTGTTTTAATATATTTGTTTATATTAATAATGTAATTGTAGATTTTTTTTAATGGAGTACATACATATAAGTGTGTTACTCATAAGAGACAATAAACTGTATTTCAGAGATGGTTGATTAAGGAAATACCAATACAGAAGATGAAAGTCCTTCATTGTTTCTTGTGTGAATCTCTTGAGAAGCAAATCAAACTTCTTGAATGTGCAATGTCAAGCCAGGTGTACATGTACAGAAATCTCTCCAAATGTACACAAGGTTTTCATTTTGTTAGGTTTTTTACTTGGGTGTAAAGTAGCACTACCATCAATGAAAAATTGCAAATTCTTTCGACTAGAAAGTCAATTGAGTATTTACTCGTGATAATTTTTTTGTTTTTATATATAGATATAATGGAGTGCATTACTCAGAATACCTTTTATTCATCCCACAGAGGGGACATTTGCATTTTCTACAGCAAGAAAGAGCCAAAGACAGCTTAATATTAACTAGCATGCATAAAAAAAAATATATATATATTAAAGATTACAAAAATTACACAATTTATCAAATACACATCTGTAAACGTTTTGAAGATATAATATATAATGTGTGTTATCTATCTAGATGGTGACGTGCGGGTGCCATATCATGTGCTGCAAAAGGCCAATGCAGAACTACACACTCTCAGGATGTCCATCTTCAAACTGCTGCAGCCCAAGCTGCACTGCAAGCTGGGTAAGCTCAGTCACTGAAGACAAACCAGTGCTGAAAGGAATTGAACATTGTTGATGAAGTAATGTTTTTGGACATTCTTGGTTAATGTCTTTCTTTTGATCCACATTGGTGCAGATTTAGGTCATGGCAGCCAAAAAAACGGGTGTGTCGATATGAGGAGATATTAGCTCTCAGGATTATATTTAGAAATACATTCTGAATGGTCATTCCCGAGGTTTATTTGCACAGTGCACAAGTCCTGTTTAGAATACCTTTTTAGTATGTCATGGAAAAGGCAACAATTGTTGTGCACTACTTCATCATAGTCATCATTCATACTTTTCTAGCTTAATGTTCTCTCAACTTGGTTTGAAGACTGTGCAATGTAGCAAAGATACAATTTCACACTGGCTACTTCACTGCACATACATTGGTTGACAATACAAAGGTTAACAATACAATTAGACGATGTTAGGCCAAGGCTACATTTTGGATACAAGAAGTGTATGAAAATAAAGTAGTAAAATATTTCTTGGATTGTTTCTGGTGCTGCCAGACATGATGGGAAATCCTTCTCAGTTCAGAAACAATATGCAAATAGTGCAAAGCTACTGTGAGCATGGGGGAGATGTCTGAACAAATATTTTTCAAACTCGACAACACTGTGCTCCCAGGGCCCCTCAAGCTGTTCATGAATATTAGATTTCATACTGCCTTTCTTTTGCCAACCAGATCACATGAAACAGTGTCTCAGGGCTTCTTAACATTTAACAAACTATGAATATGTCATACCCACTTAACGGGAAGAAACTCGGCTAACTGACGATACGAACTATTTTTACCGAAACAAAACACAAGTCTCGCAAGAAGCGTCTAAATGAGCCCTTAGCGAAAACAGGCTAATGCTATTTCTCTAAAAAGAAAAACGATCTTTTATACTTCATACCATGAGCGTCGCAGCCATTATATGAGGGTGGGACAAGTCCCTCCCACTTTTTCAAATGATTAGTTTAGACCCCCCCACTTTTACCATGTGGAAAGTCCGTGAATCGGTCTATCCACTCGCCGCACTTTGTAGAGCGCTGTGTCAGTGCTTCACTATCAAATCCATTCCACTTGCTTATTGAGAGAAGGCCCAAATCAATTAAACTCCGTACCATGTTTTCACTGCTACTTTGTACCAAGGCAGATTCTCACATAGCGTGTGCATGTTCAAGGAGTGTTGTTATAGTTGGACAGCTCAGATCTGTTGTATAAAGCGATGCCGGTAGCGGAGGTAAGGCACACACACACACACCAAGTGTTCAGGTCATCAAAGCTGACGATCTCTTGGTTTGATATGTTTTCTCCCCCAGACAACATGGACATAAGAAAAAAACAATTCTAAGAAGAGGAAAGTAAGTCTTCAGCTGGTAGCAGTTAATCAGTTAACAGTGATGGCGGCGGCGGCAAAAGCGTCTCACTTCTGGAGGAGTTTCGTCTTTATGTCATGATAGAGAGACACAAATACTGAATAGTTTAGATGAGAAAAGGCATCGAAATGCCAGGTTACTAGTATTTATGTAAACAGGGAACATGAATAACCGATCTCTCTTTGCTCATGTAAACACCATGATGTCCATGTAGAGAGTGTGTTTTACTGGAGCCTCAGTTCGATAAGAGATTATTTTCTGAGTTCTTTAATTTAGGTACTCTCTCTCAAAATGGTAAGGTGCATTATGTTTTAATTATACTTATCATTCAGAAGCTTTTTGTGTGTGTTTATGTTTTACCGAGTGCTTATAGGCAATTTCCATCCCAGTATTCAGTTAACTATTTATTTTCTGTGCACATTACATAGACTAGCTAATATTCTACCTACTGCTTGAGACTTTGAGTCTTCAAAATGTCCAATATCACAGACTGGGACTTACTTTAGAGTCAGTTGTATTTACATTCAGTATGACTTGTTATGATTCAATGTGAAAGAGTATACTGCTCAATAAATAGTGATCACTTCACCACCTCTCTTGACATCTAGGCGCTTGAGTGAGTCAGAGGCAGAACACAGGGACAGTGGAGAGAGATCCGTTGCTGAGGTGAGTGATGAAAGGGAAATGAGAGTTTAGAGTAAATAGTGATGTGGACTCTCATCCCAGAATTTTAAGGAAATCAGTGGGGATATATAACAGGAAACATTTCAGTCAAGGGGCATCATATGACCAATATAGACAGAAGAGCAACATTTATTTGAACATTTAAGTCAATGATACCATTCCTAGGTGAACTTAACATCTGTATGGAGTCAGATCAGTCTCAATATTAATACATGCTCACAGAAGGATTCACAAATGTATTTTGAGATTTATATATAAATGACTCTCCACAACAATATCTCTCAATGCACTCATATATTTATTGTTGTATATAAATGATCAAAAAATGGGCATTTAAACTGCTTTTTATTAATTCAACGACGGCTCTGAATTAATAATCAAATATGTTTCCTTTCTTTACTACTGGATGAAATTACAAAATGTACCCATAATTTTCCTCACCACATAAAAGTATCAAACCACCTGTTAAAATGCACCAAAACCCCCCCCCCCCCCCCGTTAAAAATGTCCCCCCCACATTCAGGATGCTTCCTACGCCCATGCTTCATACTATCTGCACAAACGACATATCATCTGAAAGCTGAGATTCCACAGATTCCATTGGTATAAGTCTCATCATTGCACGACCAGAACTCACTGAGCGAGCAGCCAGAACAGAACAAGAAAACATCAGTTTTCAAAACCATAACAATAATTATGTCTTACCTTTGCTGTTTTGTGATCAAAAATTGTGTTCAAGGGAATAAAAACGCTGCTCAAGGTTAATCCAATGTCTCTGTCACTTTAAAATGATTACTGATAATCCGTTCTTCCATTTTTGTCCAAAACTGAGATTTCATATGCATGCTTGTGAGAGCTACAACCCAGCTTTCGGTTTTGGGCGTGCTGGCATGCATTCACCAATGGTAATGTTCAGATGGATTTTTAGGAACTTCCCCTCGATTCCATTGGCTCCAACGGTTCAAAAGAGGTGTCAATCATCAAAATCGACTGAGGGGGGCCAGAGATATGGCAAATCCACCCAGAAGTGGTTTTTCTTTTGCTAAACCTCTCTAAAAAGGTCAAATGTCGCTTGTTTTGCATCAATACAGGGTACTTATGTTATAATTTGGATTCCTAAAGCTTTTAGTCTCCGATCCCATCATTCAAGGGTGGTTTTCACTATAAGTAATGGTTTCTTTTTGGACTGACACTATAATCTACATTTCTTTACTATGTTCAATCTGAATTTACTTTAAAATAAAAAAATTCTATATTGATTCTGACTTTTCTACATCCAACTCACAGGTTTGTCATTGCTTTGAGAAAAAAGATGATTAATTTACCCCTTTTTAGAAGTGAAGATATAGTCATTTGTTCTGGGAATGTCATTTTCGAGCCTGAGGCATGGAAAACAGGCTCAGGGCTTAACAGGTTTAAAGGTCTCCTATTATGCTGTTTTTAGGCATATATTATTGGTCTCAGATATATACAAATATATAAAAAACATGTCTATGATGTGTTTTGCTCAAAATACCAAACGGATCATGCATTTTAGACATCCCTGTATTTCAGCCGTGTTTCAAAAGTACTGATTCTGTCTTTTACTTTAGATGAATAATAAGGAGCCACTCCCCATGCCCCTCTGAGATATTTTGTTAAAAAGAACACAACTGTGCTCAAGGAGGAGATTCAGGTGATAAGGTGGTGGGGGGGGGGGGGGGGGTTTACCTTGGTTGCTGATTGGCTAATGGTTACACAACCCAACAAATCGTTATGACATAAAGTGGCCAAAATCTGATCAGCTCATTTTCAGACAGGTTTTTATATAAATGGATCGGATTTCCTGAAAGTTTCAGAATCTCTTTACACAGAGGGGACACATGTTTATGTATAAAAGACATGACAAAGTGGATTTTTCATAATCCGTTCCCTTTTTAAGAAAGCCTTTTTGGTGTGACCTGTCATCACCATTAATATCTGACTAATATGTTTATTATTCAACTGTTAACAAGAGCAGGTTCTTCATAGGTCCCACCCCTTAATGCTGCTCTTAAGTACACCAGATTGAGGCATTCAACTTTGAACGGTAAAATGTGTGTGATGCAGTGTTTCCGCCAGACCAGGGCTGAGAGGGCGTCCACCCCGAGAGCAGGGGAGGGGGGGGGGTTGACTTGAGCCGTCCCTTATAGATACTGTCTTTTTACGTTAGTGAGCCGGATCATTTGGCTCGGCTCTCTTAAAGCGCCGGCTGTTTCGGCTCCCAAACGTCTCTTCATGTTACTACAGTTTACCACGGAGCCTCAGTTTCACCGCTGCGAGGCTCCGGCGCTCGCAGTTCACGTGCGTGCTCCACTAAACCCCCCCGCTCATCGCGGCTAAATCGCGCACGTTCCGTGTTGATGTCCTGCGGCAGGTACCTTCGATGTCGGGGAAACAATCTTCAATACTCCGAAAAGAATCCCACCAGACTCCTTTGCCCCTCCAACAGAGGGATGTCCTTGTCCTTTTTCCTTTTCGTTATTTCAAGAAAAAACTCTCGATCTTCTCTCGAATTATTAATATTTGTGGACGCCCTCGGCCCGAGTTCAGGGCGTCCCGAGCTGAATAAGGGCGTCAAATGACGGCAAGACGCCCCCCTGGCGGAAACGCTGGTGTGATGTTTTCAATGCAATGATTGTTTTAAGAACTTGTCGTCTCATATTGACCCAAAATAATCGGGATAATGATTTTTGCCCTAGAGAGTATAACCACAGCTTCCGTCAGCACCCCCCTGTGATGATGCTCTAACGGCTGCATGTTTGTGCCTGCAGGTCAGGAGGAGACTCCGGTGTTCGCCCTGCCGCTGCTCCTGAAGACGGACTGTTGGGCGGAGCCTCTCTTCCAGTCCACCTTTCACTGGGAGTTCAAGTGCAGCGAATGCAAAACTGCCACAAAAGAAAGGTAGATGATGATCAGATACTACATGATTTACTTAACAGAGTGATAGTGATGTGTTTATGTCCGTAGAGGTGTGTAGTTTGTGAAGTTTAAGCTATTTCTTTTTTGCTAATGCGTTGACAAAATCTGACAATTATGACATTTTGAACCAAAATAGATGCAGATTGACTAAGCAGAGGAGTCAATCTGCAAGGTGGATAACCACCTTGCATACAACTGCAAGGTGGTTCTCCTGTTAATAGTCACATACTTAATGCATTTTTAATAATTAATTAGTTCATTTATTTAGTCCATATTATACCTGAAAACATTGCAAAAGGCCTATCCGTTTACCAGAGCCCAAAAGGAGATTGCTTGTTATATTTGACTAGAGGTGGTAAGGTGTTACATTTAAGTGTGAAAGGAAAAAAAAAAGTAAAGCCAATCACCAAATTATAAACAAGTGAACGTTACCTATTTATCAATATCACATTGTTAGAAATGTATAATTATTCTCTAATGCAAGCAAACTGAACACATTTGTAATCGCTTTCTTTTTGTGTTTCTCAGAGTTATAAAAACTCTTCCCACCTTCACAAAGGTTTTACCTGATTGGCGCCCTCTTGATGCAGTCCACTTGGCCCCGTGCAATGTGTGCTGCCAGAAGAACCAGAGAAGGACTTTGATACTGGAGAGGTAATAATGATGTCAGAAATCAGACCACCACTTGCAAAGTAATTACATCTACTGTTCAAACCTTATTATTCTGTGGCACAGGGGTGTATTGTTTACCATGTCAATAAAGAATGCCTTTTCTAACTCCCATGATTATATAGGCAAGGCAAGTTTATTTACATAGCACCTTTCAACACAAGGCAATTCAAAATGCTTTACAAAAATGAAAGACATTAACCTGTTAAGCCCCATGCCCCTGCCCCCCGAAACAATATTCACGAAACTGTGTCTCAGGGCTTCTTAACATTTAACAACCTATTAATGTGTCATACCCACTTAACGAGAAGAAACTCGGCTAGCTGACGATATGAACCATTTTTACCGAAACAAAACACAACTCTAATGCCGAGTATCTGAATTAGCACTAAGCGAAAGAGTGCTAACGCACTTAGCACATAACTCACGGTAGAAATATTTGTATACTTCATCGGATCTGCACAAATAGAAAACTCGCGGCAGCAAAACCAGACAACACACAACTTCACTTTACAGGGCCAAAACGGCAAATACGTCTTACCGTTGCTGTTTTCTGATCAAAAGTTGTGTTCAATGGCATAGGAACGCATAAAAACGCTGCTGAAGGTTCATCCAATGTCTCTGTCACTTTAAAATGATTACTGATAATCCATCATAACATTTATGTCAAAAACTGAGTTTTCATATAGAGTGTATGAGAGCTGTAACCCAGCTTCTGGTTTTGGGCATGCTGGCTGCGCATCACTCATTCACTAATGGTAATGTTTAGATGGATTTTTAGGAACTTCCCCTCGGTTCTATTGGCTCTAACGGTTCAAAAGAGGTGTCAATCACCAAAATCGACCGATGGGTTCCAGAGACATGGCAAATCCATCCAAATGACCCTAGAAGTGGGTTTCTTTTTCTAAACCTCTCTAAAAAGGTAAAATGTCACTTATTTTGCATCAATCTTGATACAGGGTACTTATTATATGTTATAGTTTGGATTCCTAAAGCTTTTAGTATACCATCCCATCATTCAAGGGTGGTTTTCACTGGAAGTAATGTTTTTTTTATTACTATTTTCAATCTGAATTTACTTTAAAATAAAAACATCTATATTGATTCTGACTTTTCTACATCCAACTCACAGGTGTAACCTTGCTTTGAGAAAAAAGATTATTAATTTACCCCTTTTAGAAGGGAAGATATAGTCATTTGTTCTGGGAATGTCATTTTGGAGCTTGAAACCTGAAAAACAGGCGTGGCATTTAACAGGTTAAGAGCATTAAGAAACATATTATAAAATGGCATTTAAAAACAGTCATTTAAAAGCAAAGATAATAAAACATGAATAACAAAGGTACATGAATAAAAGTTATCGGGGCAAAGCAGCTTTTCTCTAGTCTCCAGTGTTTCCAACAAATTCAGTTTTGTTATTAGAAAATTACAATTGTTTTTTCCACGTCCAGCAGAGACATGCATGTTATCAGGATAACAAATAATTTATTTCTACGAGATGTGCTTCCACATCTACACCAAAAAATAATTGATGAATGTTCATTGAATGCCTACTTCTGTGTTAAAGTGGCAGTAATGACTCCCAGGGGGATTGAAATTGCCAATTAATTATTCCTAACACTTGAGATTGTGAGAAATTAAAAGATACCAGTGCAGAGCCTATATGGCCGATTGCTTAGCCTCTGGTATGGCTGCATTCACTTTTTTTTTTAAAACTCATCAAAACATCTTCATCTTCACACAGCTTCCTTTGGTCCTCAGCAAAACACCCACCATGTGTGAAACTAAACAAATGTACAACTGTGGAGAACATCTAAAAACAGACATGCATACATAAAGACGTCATTCATTTTAGTAGGAAATCTGTTCACAATGAAGCGCAACCATCTCATTATAGTACATGCAGTTTAATAATTACAGGAGTGCGAACATATTATTCACTGTGCTCTTCACTTTTCTATCTGTTTAACCAGATTTGTTGCTTTGTGTTTTGTTAAGTGTGGCCCCGGTGTTTGGGCTGCACTTTGTAGAGGGACTTCCTGACAACGATGTCAGCATCTACACCTTCTCCTTCAAGGGGAAACGCTACTCCATCACCACCGTCATACAGTACAACCACCAACTGAAGCACTTTGTCACCTGGATTTGTGATTCCGACGGTAGGTTTCCATTTTTTATAGTTGTATTGTTGAAATGTAAGTCGATAAAAAACATCCTTTGTGATTAAGGCATCAATATATATATATATATATATATATATATATATATATATATAGTCAATTAATACATCATTAATTGTATTTTAGTACAATTTTAAGTTGTTAGATGCTGTTATCCTTTGCAATATTTTTACATTAACATGTATAGTGAATGAGAACTCTATTTATCTGTAATCTACTATGTGCTTGTTTAAGTTTTGGTGGTAGATTGCCAACAGCACATTCTGCTGGACACTTCATGCAATGTTAACTGAGGAAGACTTGTTTCATTGCCATTTTATAGATAAGTTATTCTGCGGCTTGAGAGATGACAATTCCACATTTTACCTATTCTATTATTAGTCTGTGTTATGTTTTTGATTTTTTAACATTCTTTTACATATGCTGCTGTCCTGGCTCCTCCATTATGAATATCTGAGGCACTTTTATGCCGTTTATAGTTCTAATTGTGCATTGTCTTACAGGATCCTGGTTAGAATATGACGACTTGAAACATCCCGATTGTAAGACTCACCAAAAGCTCCCGGTCCTGGCTCAGGAGATGCACGTCGTCTTCTGGGAGGCGGAGGAGGATAAAGAGTCTCGTACCTGTTCTCCATCGAGCACGTTTTCTGAATGTCCCCCATCTGAGAATGAGAAGAACCCCTGTCTAAGTGAAAATGGCTCAACAGCGGACAATGTGTTGAACTTCTCCACCGATCAGTCTCTTCTTACGTCTCACAACGACACTGACATAATCTGTGCACTCTCAGCATCTGAAGACACAACGATCACGGCAGGAGGTGACACGTCTATCGGTTCCACAACGCTGCTGGACGCCTTCGAGGGACTTTCCCATGATGACATCATTACACTCACCCTGGTGGAATTAAAAGATCATTCAGAAATGCCTCCTTTGAACGAGAACAAACAAACCGAGGATGCGAGCGCTCCCAGCAGGGATGAAACACTTGACTCTCTACCCGATAGCTCTTCCGCTGTAATACAAAGTGAGCTACCCTCCATCTCCATTTCATCGGATTCTGCGGACGGCTCGTTGTGTGATCCTACATTTGTGCCTTGTGGAAAGAGAGGACGGGGCAGAGGCAGAGCAGCTGGCAGAGGCAGAAAGGTTGGCCGAAAAACAGTTACAAAGGTAGCGGCGCCAAAAGCAGCTCCGCAAACTTCACCAACTACATCGTCTGAGCCCTCAAAAGAAGTCATTAGCAAACCTGAGAGAGACGCTGCTTCTCAAAACCCACCGCCTGTTGAAACTACTCAACGAGCAGCCCCCATGTCTGCAACTGATACGCCACAGAAAAATCCCAATGCCACCATGCCCCCTCAGAACCCTCACTGGTCCTACATGCTCAGCCCAGTCAACCAATTTCAAAAGTCAATTGCTAAAGTTACCCCCTCCAAAACACCCACCTCTGTCCCTCTAAGAAAGCTCCCTCCTCCCATCCACTCAACGCCCAACCCTGTGAGGAAACAGCAGCGTCCTGTAGTGATCTTCCCAAAACCTCAGCTCAGGACAGAGGACAGCGATGGTCTCCCGCTAAAAGCCGCAGAAATGTACGGTGGATTTGGTGCGAAGAGCTCCCCAAGTCCGCTCCCATCTTATGCGCTTCTCAAAGGAAAATCAAAGCTGAGTCCACCTGTTACACCCAGCAACCAGATATCCCTATTGAACACTACGGTGGTGTCTGACACGCCGTTGTGTATGCCTGGAGCAACTCGGCTACCGGAAATTTCCTCAAAGAAGTCCTCGAAGCTTCCTCCAGGCCTCAGCGAGACAGAAGCCCTCAGGTACAAGCTGATAAAGAAGCTAAATGCAAAGAAGAAGAAGCTCGCTAAGCTGAATGAGATGTTGGGGCATCAAGGCGGGGCCAGCCTCCGACCGGACAGTACCATCCTGGGATCCCCAAACACCGTCACCTCCAGCACGTACGACAGCTCCATCTGCGACGACTTCCTCTCGGACCTGCTCTCGCCGGCAACGACCGCCAGCAACCTCTCCCCGGACAGCACGGGCTTCCTGGAGCTGCTCGCCAGCGGGCAGGTGGAGCAGATACACTGTGGGGTCAACGCTGCTGGAGCGCTGCCTCAGATGAACAACACAGACAACTTCCTGGAGGAGTTTCTCTCGCAGGCCGTGACTCAATCGCCGAGTGAGATGGAGACGGACGCCCTCAGTGAACTGTTCATTTGACTTCTATGAAGTTTATATGCTTGTTAAGTGTTGTACACCTTAAAATACTGTCTGCAAGTTTGGCATTGAAGTTATTATGTTTACAGCAGAGCTTGTTTGAGTTTTCTGTTTTGTTAATTAGAAAATTACTTAAAGTCTTGTGATGATTTTTTTTTTTAAATGTCATTTAATAAATACTTTAATGACTTTACTGTGTTGTACAAAATGTGTTGTGTGGTTTCAGCTTCCTCTTAGAATAAAAATATTTATAGTTTAGGTTTAAGTCAATGTAAACACTGACTTGCTAGTTAAATACTGACTTGCCTTAGACATGAGACTATAACTGAGGGCAAAACTGTTAAATTATTGTAACTGAAAGATTAACAGTTAATTTAAGAACACATATTTACAAAATAAAACCCTGTGCCGTCAGTCAGACATCAACATTGCTTTGATTATTAAGATTACACGTTTTTAACACCTCTGAAAGAAAACAAAACAAAATGTGATAATGCAGCAAGGTTACACGATGCATCATTTTCATTGTTTGCAGGAAAATATATCTGTAATTTACAGCACATCAATAACTATCTTTAGAATTGATCATTTAAAAATGGCAATGTTCAGTTGAATCTGTAAAGTTTAGGAGTAATTTTCAGCTGCTTGAACGTACTTCAAGATGAACTTTAATTATATATTATGTGCATTTAGTCCAGTGGTTCTCAAACTTTTTCTGTCTGGCCCCCCCCAAGCTACCCCCCAACATAAATAGTCAGGCTCAGTGGCGGCGCCAGAGATTTATTTTGGGGGTACTGTGGGGTAGCTTGACGTTTCATAGAGGGTGCTCAAACATTTAGGGTTTCCCATTAATGTACCGAGTCGCTACAGTTGAATTTTCTACTGCAACACTCCCCACGCATATACACAACGTACCCGCAACTGTTACAATGAAGGCTCGATAATCAGCTCACGGCATATAGGTGTAAGCAGGGGTAAAGTGCTATTTTTATAGGTGGTGTGTGGACCTCACATAGGGGGGTCCGGGGGCAAGCTCCCCCGGGAAGATTTTTAAATATTGAAGTTAAAAGCATCAATCTGGTGCACTTTGAGAGCAAAATGAAGAGATCTATGGATACATCTCTCAACACAGAACTGTAAACAGATGTACTATTTCTTTATGGATATTTTACAAATCACTCCCCTTTTAAACTTTATACATTTTTTAATGTCATATAGTATTTCATACCTGTTTTTAATTTATTCTCTTATTTTTGATTATATAAATGTGTGCCTCGGAAATAATTGTTTACATTAATGGTGACCAAAACGTTTGAGACCCACTGAGATAACACTGAGAGAGTCCTTTAGTTCACTGAGTCTCTCAGTCTGACAGGAGAGGACTCTCCTCCACTTTGTTGTTGAAAAAACTCCTTATATCCGTTAGTGTAGCTCACTAGCACCAGAAACGATCTCCGGTACCGGTGCGCTCTCTCTCGCTCGCGCACGCAAACAAAATGGCTCGTTCCACACACACACAGAGCCCCAGACGTAATAGTACTGTACTGTATCATATTATTTTCGAATCAATAATTTTTCAAAACATAATTTTTTTTTTAAATAAAAAAAAAAATGATTTTAATAACCATTTTTCCTCCTGGTCTCTCGCGCCCCCCCCCTGTCATGCCTCTGCGCCCCCCTGGGTGGGCGCGCCTCCCACTTTGAGAACCACTGATTTAGTCCAAAGGGTTAGGGTTTGTCTTTTAACAAATAGGAACATAGTCACATACTGTATTACCAGGTAATATGAAACAATCAGAACACCTTTGTTAGTCCCACAGAGGGGAAATGTACGTTGTTACAGCAGAAAACGAGCCAAAGACAGTTTAATGTTACGTAGAAGCATGCATAAAAAAAGTAATATGATTTGTTTTACCAAAGCAATGCTAAACAGTAATCTTCTCTCCTTCATATATCAATGAGTCACTTAGCAGACCTTGTGGGAAAATGGCAAACGATAAAATATGGAAATCGTTATTACTATTTACATATTTAAGCAGTCTCTAGGTAGGATCATTAGTGTCTAGTCTGGATGAATTTCAACCTAGAACTCAAAAGAGTCGTTCCCATACCGGGAGTCGAACCCGGGCCGCCTGGGTGAAAACCAGGAATCCTAACCGCTAGACCATATGGGACTCACGTTAACTTGACGACCGTTAGGCATCTTCAACACAGTTATAGATAACGCGTCGTGTATACGTATATAAATTACCACTTCGAGCGATAGATTTATTAACAAAGCACTTATGTACTAATAAAGGACTGGCTTATCTAAAGCCAGTTGAGTAGCACTTGAAATGTTTGGCTCTATGAAACCTGATGTACTTATATGATTCTGTTTTCTTCAAGGTTGTATTTTGTTGGTCGAATGTACTTATTGTAAGTCGCTTTGGATAAAAGCGTCAGCTAATTGCAATGTAATGTAATGTAATATAAACTATAAGGCACAAACTAGCAGACCATGACTTCAGCTGGAATCATTTCGACTATCTACTGTTTATAATTTAAATGAAATGCACTACCACGCTTAGCTAGTTTTTGTTCGATAGTAACGTCAGCCTAAACAGTGTCAAACAACACTGCTTGATTAAATGTTTGAACTAGCTTCACATTAGAAAATCTCTTCATTTGTATTTGTTGGGAGGTTAAGAAACAGTAGTTTATTCATTTAGTAGGTTCAAGTATGTATGCTGGTAATTAAGTACATAATTATAGTAAGTTTGTATGCAAATAAGAAATTAATTGAATTAAAGAGCTTTCATAAACGACTTCAACAAATATTACATTTTGAACATGTTTCTGTTTTTAAATACAGTCACTAACCAAATGGGGGAAATAGCAGCTGCATTACCATTGTGATGCACTCGCAGGTGCTGTTTGTCTATTGGTAGGCCGGACATAGTATATACAGTCTATGATTTAGACAGGTTGTAAATGGCTGTATACTGTATACTGTACTACAATAAAACCCTTTTGTTCAGGCATGTGTGCTTTCCCCGAGATCAGCATTTTATATATTACAATTCTCTGCTTATCGAGCATGTTCTAGGGGTGAACATTGCTCTCTTCCTCTTATCTTCATTTGTTTGAATGAGATAAAAAGTCAAGAACACAAATACAAAACATATAGGATACATTTTTTAAATATGATTGCTTTATACTAGAGCAGTGGTTCTCAAAGTGGGGGGCGCGCCCCCCCAGGGGGGCGCAGAGGCATGCCAGGGGGGGTGCGAGAGACCAGGAGGAAAAATGGTTTAAAAAAAAAAAAGATTTAAAAAAAAAAAGAAATCATAATTTTAAAAATTATTGATTCGAAAATAATATGATGCAGTACAGTATTATTACGTGTTGAGAGATGTATCCATAGATCTCTTCATTTTGCTCTCAAAGTGCACCAGATTGATGCATTTAACTTAAATATTTAAAAATGAAATCTTCCCGGGGGAGCTTGCCCCCGGACCCCCCTATGTGAGGTCCACACACCACCTATAAAAATAGCACTTTACCCCTGCTGAGCTGATTATCGAGCCTTCATTGTAACAGTCGCGGGTACACTGTGTGTATGCGTGGGGAATGTTGCAGTAGAAAATTCCACTGTAGCGACCGGTACATTAATGGGAAACCCTAAATGTTTGAGCACCCTCTATGAAACGTCAAGCTACCTGAGCTACTGAGCCTGACTATTTGTGTTGGGGGGGCCCGACTTTTTTTTTTCTCCAAAGGGGGGGCCTGACAGAAAAAGTTTGAGAACCACTGTACTAGAGGTTTTCAAAGCTGGAGGTAGGTTCAAATAACATAATTAGGGCCTCACAGCCATCCAGGAAATAAGTTATACTGTATACTGTACTACAATAAAACCCTTTTGTTCAGGCATGTGTGCTTTCCCCGAGATCAGCATTTTATATATTACAATTCTCTGCTTATCGAGCATATTCCAGGGGTGAACATTGCTCTCTTCCTCTTATCTTCATTTGTTTGAATGAGATAAAAAGTCAAGAACACAAATACAAAACATATAGGATACATTTTTTAAATATGATTGCTTTATACTAGAGATTTTCAAAGCTGGAGGTAGGTTCAAATAACATAATTAGGGCCTCACAGCCATCCAGGAAATAAGTTAAACCAAGCCAAGTTAACTGTAGGGATGAGGGGGCTCCTTTTTCGAAGCGTAGTCTGACAAGAGCCCATCTCCAGGAAAACCCCTACTCTCAAATCTACATACTTTAACTGTATACTGCTTATACATTCTGATCTAGTACAATGAAAGAACAACCTTGACCTGTTATGTAATTTCTCTATATTGATGTATTTATCCTTTAAAAAGTAAAACGTATCAGCAGGGCCGTTTCAAGCTTTTTGGGGGCCCTATGCAAGATGCTGTTTGGGGGCCCTAGTTTTTACAGTTTTTTAACTACAATGGGGGGATTCCGAAGCCTTTAAGATGATCTGTGGAGATGTTACACTTTAATAGGAAAACGGGCTAATTTCACAAATACCAAGCAATTGAAAATTACAAAAAACGATATTAAAAAGTTAAACAATACGGCTCCTCAATGTCAATAAATGCAAGAGATGCAGCATTTTCTCAACAATGTTTAATGTACATGTTTCATCTTCCTCAGACGTCACTAATTGGCTGACAGCCCAACGATGATTTGGACTTTATTACCCTAGAAACACAAGCCACAGCTTTGCTATCATTGCAGTTTAGTCGTGTTTATATCCTACATTGGATTTGTAAGCATATAATGCTTCACCGAACACAGGAGGGGGCTTGGCTGTCTACAAATAAAGACGGCTCATTTTAATTCTCCCCAAATATATTGAGGCTGAACCTGAACTTTGGATTCTCTACTCCTATCATAATCTTGGCGATCTTGTTAAAATTGTGAATGCAGAATTAGAAATACTATGTAATTGGTTTGCAGTTAATAAATGATCCCTTAATGTGGCCAAAACAAATGACATGTTATTCAATACAAAGTCTGAGAGTAGAAATGACTGCATTATACGGATTTGCAATACCGAGATAGAAAAAATTGGTGCATGTACATTTTTAGGACTGCTTGTTGACGAAAAACTCAATTGGAAGCACCATATAAATTATGTACAGACTAAACTGTCAAAAACAATAGGTATTTTGTATCATAATAAGAACATTCTTGAAGAAAAAATACTCTTTATAACAGTCTATTTCTCCCTTACCTTTACTACTGCTCCGAAATATGGGGAAACACGTACTCAACAAATCTACAAAAAATAATAACATCCCAAAAAAAAGTATTACGAATAGTCTGTGGAGTTGGTAAATATGAACACACAACTCCCATATTTAAAAAATCAATCTATTAAAATGTTTTGACATAGTACAGCTTTTCCATAAGAAAATGCCTAATAACATTCAAAAGCAGTTCCAAACCACAGCGTGAACATATGAATGTAAAAAAAGTCACTTGAAAATAAGTGTTCACAATGTTTATATGCAATTATGCATATATTATTATATGCATATATTATTATTATTATTATTATTAATTTGCCAAGTACATGTATATATTTATATATAGCATTTTCATTTCCAAAAAAATATAGTTGAAACTGCTATTGACATGTGCAGAAAATGACACTATATCTAGTTTTCGTATATATATATGCATTTATTGTTTTCCTGCCCTAACTTTTATTTCGTTTTTTCTCCTGTTTTCTTTATTTCTTTGTACTCCTTCATTTCTATACATTTTTGACGCAATAATGCCAATGTTGTATTAGGATGATGCACGGGAGGGCTACTTTCCATAAGCTATGCTTCAGCCCTCCCGCTTCTACTAATTTTGTTCATCTTTGTGTGTATGAATTATACTTTTTTTGTTTTTTGGATGAATAAAAAAAAAAAAAAATTACTTTCAGCTTGGGGGCCCCCTAGTCGCCGCGGGGGCCCTATGCATCTGCATAGTCCGCCTATAGGAAGAAACGGCCCTGCGTATCAGTACTTCCTCTCCCAGTGCAGTGGATGTTTTGACTTCATAAAAGTATGAAGCGAAGGTGTAATTATTCAAATGAATACACATTTGAATGGGAACACCTGGAGTTTCTCTCATATAAGTCACCCTGTTGCTTTGAGAAAAAGGCTATCCACATTTGAACTTGTCTGGGGGACATCCTTTCATAAGATATAATATTAAAGGATTCCCGTGTATTGGTCTTGCTCATTTGCCAGAAAGACTCCAAAAAGGCTCTCACAAAGAACATTTAATTACCCTAATAGAGTAATGCAAATGTGTTCATGGCTGTGCAATCTCTGACACAAACACAGAGGAAGTAACAGGCCTGTGTCCTCTGTATTAAGCCAGAACATAATTTGCATAAAGAGGAAACCACAAACGAGTTTTCTATGTAGGATTGAGGTGGGATGGTGCAGTATGTCATAGAGATACAGATCAAGTTTATTTTCTTCAGACTGACTGGAGAGACACACTTCTGGACGGGAAAAAGAAGCTCAGCATCTCCATTCATCTTCTCTTACAGCTCACACAATCATCATGTACAGCATCGTGGTGGAAAACATCTACATGCTGGTCATCGTCACCCTCATCAGCGTACTTCAGAATGGTGAGAAAAAGCAAGAAGCAACTCTAAATCAGTAGTTAAAGATGTGAGTAAGATGACCTTGTGTGATGACATTAATGATCTTTGTGTTTTAGCATTCTTTGCTTTGAAGGTAGAGAAGGAGTGCAGAAGTGTAAATCCAAACCCAGCTGCTTTTGAACGAGTTTCTTGTGCCAAGTAAGTACAATTTTACACTCAGTTCCTCTGCTAATCTAATGAAACATATGATTTTTTGTTATTTTTCTTTCCTTCTAAAATAAAAATTCCATTTGGTTTTCCATTGACCTGTTTTGGAGAGGCAGTCTGCATTTGCCTGAACACTCCCAGATACTGGAAAAAACTACAGAGCTCATTTGAATGCTTGCTGGGAAAGCAACAATAACCGTTAAGAAAACATTTAATTCCACAAGCCTCTCAGTGAGGTGACTCATCATCATCCTCATGTGTTTAAAGTTGTGTTTAAAAATGACTTATAGCTTAGGTTGTTTTGCTTTGTTTAAAATTGCAATCCAGGTATGATCGTGCAATATGAAATCAAGCCTGTTTCTCAAAACTGTGACTTTCACACTTCTTGCAAAACCACTTGGCACATTAACATTTGTCAATTCAAGAATGTATCCACCTAACATCTTAGATACCTCACACACAAAACTACTCAATTATTTTACACTTCGACAACTATTATGTTAATGGCTTCATAAAAAATATCAGAATTTTCAATGTTCTCTGTTTCCTATCATTGTCATTTGAAAGTGATTGTGTTTTGGACTGTTGGTAAGAAAAGTGAAAAAAAACGTCACCTCAGGCTTCGGGAACTTGTAGTTATTGCACATTTGCTTCTGATTTTTTTATGGGCCACAATTCATTGGTTAAACAGAGAAAAATATCAACAAATCCATAAATTGTGGCACTGAGGAAAAAAATGCGTTATGCTGCATTTAATCATTAAAAGTAGTTAGGCTATAGCTTGAAATTAAAATCTAATATTAGTGACACAACGTCTCAGTATTGGGAAGCTCCATGGGCTGCAATGCACTTCCTGTGCAAGAAACATTTCAGCCACATCCTGTCTTGGATTTCAAAACGTTTGCAAACGTTTGCTGAGAGTTTCAAAAGGACCTGTCTCTTATTAAAGGTTTTTCGAGGTAGGTGTAGAAATAAATCTGAGAAAAGATATATAATTACCTTTCAGGAAACAAATCAGCCTGTGACCTCTCAGATTTATGTTGAGGCCTCTTGTAGGGTCCTGACCGAAAGGTAAACAAAAAACCCGTTCTGAGAATTTTTTTGCCAGTTTAGTCGAGGAGAAATATATATTTCTTAAATAAAAGTATAAATACTACAGTGTAAAAATACTTTCTTACAAGTAAAAGTCCTGCAATCATAATCTTACTTTAATAAAAGTACATAAGTATTCACATCAAAATATACTTAAGTACCAAAAGGGATAGTACTTATTGTGTACGTAATTCTAATTTCAGAATAACATATTCTATTACTGGATTATTATTTTTTAATAAAAATAATGTGTTTATCACAGCCAGTAAAAGTGGAGCTTATACTTCTGCTGGATACTTTACTTATAACTATATAGCATAGCTTGTTTCTTATATTTTGTATTTGCTAATAATCTGAATCTGTAAAGTAACAAGTATATATTTATGTCAAATTAATGTAGTGGATTAAAAGGAAAATATTGGCTTCCATATTGTAGTGGAGTAAAACCGTAGCATAAAATAAAAATACTCAAGGAAAATAATGCAAAATCGTAGTTAAGTACAAAACTTGAGTAATTGTAATTCACTACATTACACCACTGGCTAATTCTCCAGACATGCGTGAGATTGAAAAGGTTTGAGGGACATGGCTCTGTGAAACACACTGAACTGATTATTGCAGTGTATTGCAGCAGCCAGTACGCACTACCTCAGAGCGGACGACATTTTTCCATTTCAACTCTTCTCCTCCAACACTCAAGACAGCCACATTGCTTTTCCATTGTTTTTTTTTACAGCCTTTTCTGCTCTACAGTTTAAAAACATTTTCTTAAATATCAAACGTTATCAGATTGCTCCATAAATCCTCTTTGCAGTTAATTTCCTTGATTGTACTAATTGCACCTCTTGCTTTCTCATCTCTCAGTCGTAACTGCATGGATTCTTACCCAACGTTCCTGGCAGTGATGTGGTGTGCCGGTCTGTGTCTCAGTCAAGGTAATCATTAATCAGTTACTGTAAAGTAATCATTAATCAGTTAAACGCTCCCACAGAGTCAGTTCTGCTGAGGAAAAACATTCAAGAAAGGATTTTGTTCTTTATAGATGACTCCTTACTTTGAGGAGCACTTATAATATAATACCATTGACCCTATTTGTCCAAAATGTTGTGGACACTTGACCACACATACATGTAATTCAAAACGTACGCAGCAATGAAGTACAGCCCAATCAGGCTCAGCCAACACATGCAGAGGACAGGGTGCTTTGGCAACATTAAATTACAATATAAATTCATATCAAACTTGCTGTATATTCATCTGCAACTTTAAAATATTGAGACAACTTTTTTCAACCAAGTACACAATTAACAATTGATAGTCAGAACAAGCCGATACAACCGACAAATATTAACTCATGTTGTTCCACCTAGGTTCTCATTTACAATAAAATGTAAATCAAAAGTATTCCAACCTTTTTTCTGGAATTCTTACCCACTACCATTTATAAGAAGCCCTTTACACTTGAGTGACAACTACTTGTAAAGGAAAGCAACATTTCCTTATAGCTTACTGTATCCATGTCTCAACCCATTACAATAGCTCATAAAACACCTTATAGAACAATAAACAGAGAGCCTCTTGAAGTTTCTAGACTGCCTGTGGGAATTTCCCACATAAATGCCAACAGTCAGTCCTCATATGCATTTTTTTCTCCCTCTACCCACACTACCTGGGCTTCACTTATTCAAGTAATACATAAACAAATGTGTGAATACATTATTTTTGGTTCACACAGTTGAATCACGGTATTCTCTGAAGTATCATTACTGACTGTATCACTGAACCGGGAAAAAGAGCCACAGACCAAAATATGACACCCAAATAAAAGTGGCCAGGAGTTTCCATATACGTTCCATATTGTGAGTTATGAAAATGGGGATTGTAGTAATATACCAGGCTATTCAAAATTGCTGGTCATCATATAACGTTTACATGTAAAAAATATTTTCTGTTAAATGAACGGACAAAAGTGAGTGTGTGTGAGTTAGAAAGACATGAGCAGCACCAACAGTATATGTTAATTGTTATAATAATAATAGTTACAACTCAAATAAACTACTTAAAAGTATTTCTTAACATGCTATAGTGCTGCTAACATGTAAACTGCCATGTTGTTCTAATAAAGCCTTATATAGTAAATATGATATTGGTTTCCCAGTTAATAATTCTGTTTATTACCAGTACAACTATGTTCTCATTCTTTAGAGTTTCATTGTAACTAATAATGATAATTACAAAAATGTAATGCTGTGATGTTTTCTGAGACCATACCATGATGATCTCAGTGTGTACAACCCAACCAGGAAGTAATATATATATTTCTTTTTCTGTCACATCTCTGAAGCTCCTGCTTCCTTTGCTGGGGTCATCTATCTTGTAGTCAGGCAGAAGTACTTTGTCGGATACATGGGACAAACCTCTCAAAGGTAAATTATAATGAGCGATCTGTGTTTTGTTTGTTAAGAGGCATAGTCTAACATATATTTAAACATTATTCGTAGCACCCCAGGCTTCCTGTTTGGAAAACGCGTCCTGTTCTTCCTGTTCCTGATGTGCATTGTGGGAATCTTCAACTACCTGCTGGTGCGCTTCTGCAGCAGCGACTATAAGGAATACGTGGAAACCATCACCAGCGCTGCGTCTGCTCTTCTCCTACTCCCTTAGGGCAAGGTGTGTCACATAATGGCACAAACAACTTATATGTCTTTTAATTGAACAAAAACAAAAGTCTGATTTAATTTCTGTTTTTATAAAAGAGCATTTATTGTCTGTCAGTTTGGTAAATAAATAAAATGTCATTAACAAAGTATGATTCTTCTGTACAAAAGTATTAAACAATTCATTCTGCAATATAGATTTGACCCCTTCAACTCTAATCAAGTGAGGTAAACATCTGGTTACTATCGAAAAACACTGGGTAAAAATACACAATTGTTAGAAAAATATCACTCGACACCAGGTTGAGAATCAATGATCAGGTAACTAATTTATTCTTGCAAGAAGGAGCAGAGTTAAATCACATACAAAGGATATGGTTTAACTCACACACATGAGGTATGTTGCTCAAAGGAACAGCAAAAAACATCAGGCTTATATAGTCCAAAACACAGGAGATAACAACAAAGTCGTAAATCGAGGTGGCGCTAATATCAGCCGCGGGTGTCGGAAAGTCGGTTCATCTGCGATGGGTCATCTGTGACGTCTTCTGGAAAGAGTCACGTACTTCCTTCACACTTCATATAAATGAGATATTTAGGAGACAGATATTTATTATATCTCATAAATATCAACAACCTGAAATGCCCTGCCTCCTCCTATCACAAGAAGAGGCAGCTGCAAGGTCATACACAGTTCAAAGCCACACATGATATCAGTGCATTAAAACAACCCAAAGAGTGGAGAAAACAGTATTTCTACAACAACAATATATTCCTTGATAATCTTCATGGCATTCAGTAATTCTTTGTCAGTGGTTTCCACCAACTTAACAGAAGAAGTACCCAACAGCCATTATAGTGCAGTTCTGTCTGAAGAGGTAGGCTGCCCCTTTACCTGGCAGGTTACATTCTTCTGCTGATCAGGAAACGTCCTTAAGGAAGCAGACCCACACGCCATTACAACTCAATTTGTTTCTCTTTCTCTCCATCCACTGCTTGCTCATGTCAGTCTCAACTGTAATGGTAAAAGATGTGAGCAGAGAACACAAATTAGACAAGTGCAATCTGACAAATCCAGCAAAGTAAGTATCTATATTATACTATCACTACTATATTGCTAAGAAGAATAAGACATACTTACACAAAATGTCCTTTTGCTGAACCCAAACCAGTGTGCAAAGTCAAAGAGGGCATCAGAGTAGTATTTGAGGGTGAAGGAGGCGTCTCTCCACACAGGTTGGACTTTTGTTAATTTGTCGGTTATAACGCTGCTGTTTTTCACTGCCCAGTTCTCCATTATTTCAGTCAAGTCAATCTGATATAAACAAAAGACATATTTAAAAACCACAAAACACACTAGCTCCCGGTGTGAACTACATTAAAAGTGACACAAAGTTCTGCTTACATCCACCCTGTAGCTTTCTCCTGCGACAGAGGAGATGCTCCAGTCCAGGCCTTTCTCCATCTGCCACTTGATGAAAGGATCGTTTCCATTGATGGACACCACAAACTGCTTGAGCACTGCCACTGATACAAGGTGTAGGATAATTTATGGGGAAAACAGAGGGAAACCAGTGAGAAGAGAGCTCAGAAAGACATGTTGTCATTATGCAAAAGCACTGTACAGCCATTCAGTAGCGTGGCGTGGGGAAAAATGTAGGGGAAGCCCATTTTTTGGGTCGGGGGGTGGTCAATAACGTAACCAGATGAGTGATTACAGCGCCCGGTATCATTTGACACACATTTGTATCACACAGATGCAGGACTTGCACACGCCTGTTATCTAACCGACAGGTCCGCACGCACTCTCCAGCTGAAACTCTCTCCTTATTAATTTAAGCATTTTACTTATTAATGTATGCAGACAATCACACAATCTATGTGATTTTTGGATTTACCGTGCCTCTCAATTGCCCGTGACAGGTTGGCAAGGTCGATGAATCCTGAAGTTGCCCAAGGATTGTTCAGGGAGCACGAATCCTTGTCAAAAAGAAGACATGGCCAGCAAATTAGACGCTGAAGTTTAGCGCTTCCAGTTAGCCACTCCGTGCGGACATAATTGTCCTCATTGAACGTCCGGTTCTCTCCCTTTTTCCTCTGCGTACACACAGCTCGAGTGCGGGCATTGGCCTGTCATCTGATTTAATTTGTAGTTGCTGCTGTAGCGGAAGTTTAGTAAAGTTATGTTTGATTAAGTACGCCAAATCTCCACCCTCCATAATACTTCATTTGCTTGATAATTTCTAACGGCGGTGATGACAGTTACAGTATTAAAACTGATGTTGATGTGATTTGATTGGATGGCAGTGTCCAATCAAATCGCCAGCCGCCAGCCGCCTCTGAAGGGAAGCAAGAGGCGGCTAGCTTCCCTTGGCATGGCCCTGACCAATCACAGGTTGGCAGGGGCATCACGTGGGCCTCATCTGATTGGTCAATCCCTCCATTTTTTTTCACCAAGGGAAGCTAGATTCGGCTGGCCTCCTCTCGCAACAGTGAGTGCAATCTACTGTTTCACCATAACATCTAGAGGGGCGCTGTTTGTTTCACTCTTTGTAAAATACTCAATGAGAATGGGGGAGAGACGGGCCGGCAGCAACACACAGCAAAGGAGAATTATCGAAACAAAACAAAGTGTTTGTATTTATTTATTTAAATTATAACTACAATCCGAAAAAACAGGGGAAGCCTGGCTTCCCTTGGCCTCCGGGAGAAAACGCCACTGCAGCCATTGTCATTACTCTACTCCGTCTCCACCCATTGCAAACATTCCAAGTTGGATTTCAGCCCACATGGAATTGAGTCAACCTACCCATGCCACATATAGGCAGCATGACACACTTAGCTGTAAACTACACACTGTGTTCAAAAGTATAATGTTGTGCGAATTAAAAAATGCCAGTGGTGGCTTTAAGTACCATTTATCTTTTTTTTGTTATTTCAGTGTAATTACACAAAAACGTGTGTCCTCGTCATGATGAGGTAATTTTGTATAATGGTAGTAAGTAGCCTTGTGTACAGTTAAAGTTACCTCTTTCTTCATTGGCTGCCTTTTTGTCGTTCACTGAAAAGTTGTCTTCGCATGCAGACATCAGCAGATACATCCTCTTGGACAGCAGACTCTTCCTCATGCTGGTGTACTCCCATAAGTTTAGCATTTTAACCTTCCTGTTTTGAAACAATTCAAACATGTTTTTGAGTATAATAATATGTGTATTTTTAAAGCATCCCATGAAGCGTTTCCCTCACCTTCCCACCGAGTTCAGGAAAACTATTTCCCGTCTGCAGGAGTTGAAGTTGTCGATGAGCACCAGGCTCTTCTCCGGGTCGCTGTGGACTCGGTGACCGGAGGAGAGCTCCTCCACGGAGAAACCGTCCGGAGGATTTTTCAGAAACTCTTCCACTTCTGTCACTCTCATCCTGCTGTGGGACGTCTTGCTCGCATTCATGGTGTCACGCTTTTCTCTGGTACGTCTTCCTGTGGCTGCAGCTGTTTATAATGCCTGCCTGAAGTCTGTAGCTTCAATAAACGCTGTGAAGTTAGACATGATGGTGACACGACCAGACTTCCGGTCTCAAATTAAATCGGCTCAGGTTGAATGCTAACAAGCGAAAACACCAGCCATTTAAAGGAGACATGTCATGGCCATTTCCACTGATCATGATTCCATTGTTGAGGTCTACTGGAATATATTTATATTGTGCAATTTTCCAAACTCATTGGTAGAAACCACATCATTGGTTTCTCATACAGCATCTCTGTAAACTACGTGTATTCACAGTCTCTATGGTATTTACTGAATTTCACTCTCTGCCTTTAGCGAAGTTAGGCCCATCTACTTCCGGTCCATGGGACCTTATTTCGAAAAAAATAATAGGCTTGTTTGATACGAGCTGCGGCTCGCATCGAAAGTAGACGAGAATAGCCGATCGCAGCCGGGGGAGGTCTCAAAAAGCTCGCCTGAAGTCGGACCATGGATGTATAATAAGAACTGGATACAGCGTGCTTTATAAATGCAAACCGAGTCAAGCCGACTCCTCGGCCCAATTCCAAACCACTCCCTCGACCCTACCCCTCCGTGACGGAGTGAACTCCGTCTGTAGCCACACTCGCAGCTCAACGAGGCTCCCTCCTGTCAGATGGAGGGAGTAAACACAGCAGCAACCTTTGGGACGGCCTCCCCTCTCTCCGGCAGAAACAGGAAATGCCGTAACTGTATGTAACAACGGTTTCAAATCAGCATCTCTTAGACAAAACATATAAATTAATAACTCAAATAAAACTCCAAACATCTTTCATTGTGTGTTTTTTGTAAAGCTCTTTTAGTTTTAAACCTGATGTTTATAAGCTTCTTAGTTGTTGCAACAGTCTGTAAATATACACAACTTTATAATAAAATGCACACATTTACCTTTTTCTAGACTAAACACAGGTATGATCCTAAGTTAAAACATATGAGGTTATCATGAGGTTGTTAGCATCGCAGTTTATCAGTGGATGTTTGCTGGAACTACTTGTTAACAGCGTGTTTCCTGACGGACACACACAGCGTTGAGACCGGTCAGGTAGAGACCGGTCTCAAATCAGCACCGTTGCAGACCCTGCAGACTCGCTGTTTGAGGGCTTGATAGCCCACTCCCCCTCCACACCGCTCCACACCATGGATGTATAATAAGAACATCCATGTGGAAATAAGTGCATTTGATCAGCTGACTGTTTTTACAATAACAGTCGTTTCTTAGTGTACTGGTCTTAAAATCTCATAACATCAGCTTGTAATGTTCCTCTTGGATGTTCTTCTTGACCCTCAGAGAAGGAGAAAATGTCGTGTCTTTCAGGCATGTCCTTTCCTAACAAAAATTACAGGAAACATAAAACATATTATTGCAGAACAAGTGTGTTATTTATGAAAGCGGTGTGTTTGTGTGTTTAGGGGCTGTATATATAATTATTTTGTAATTGTAATGTTTGTTTTTTATTTCAACAGTGAGCTACAAAGACAATCAGATTATGAATGAACAGTATGAAGTTCATCAACATTGAAATGTATGTTATTATCAAAATAATATTGAACTGTTATCAAAACGTAGTAAACTGTAGAAGCTTGCTCTGTTGTCTCACTGAAAGAATCACTTTTACCACGTTTTTTCAGACAATATTGAGAGATAAATAGTAGCAGTTCTCACTATGTGTTAAATATCTTTGCCTTCAATACATTAAATTAGAAAGCTGACAAAATCATAGTGCTTGTTAACATCTAAATGTAACTTTTTGCATGGAAAAAACCCTCAACTTAACTGATGTGTAGGTGATCTAGTATTTAGTATTGTTTAATGGAATGTATATCAGTGTATTCAAGTCAATACTTCATTCATTTAAACCAATATCTTTCTTGATTCTTTGTACAGTATGGAAAAAAGAGTCTTTGTACCTGAGCTGAAGTTCACTGCTGTGAGGAGTCCAGTTCTGTCTCTCACTCTCTGGTCCAGCCTGTCTGCATCACCTGGACACCTTAAACAAACAGATATATATATGTAAAGTACCATGTGTACAAACAATATAACTGATTCTCTTCTGTTGAACATGTTGGATTGTGTTTTGTCCGAGTCAGGGTCAACTTTTGGCCCGTAATTTCAATTCCCCATTTCAACTACCAGAGAGAGAGTGGGGGGGGGGGGGGGGATATATCTCATACTTGTTTGATTCTGAAATTGTATATATTTTAGGGATGCACGATATTGGTTTTTGAAACCGATACCGATAACTTCCTGCTTCTCAAGACCGATAATAAAAAAATGTTTACGCCACTAATTATTTTAACGCGATTAACGCATGTGTATTTGTTGTCCTCGGCCGCCCCGTAGTTTCAGAGCGCATCGAGTTTAAAATACCATCTACAAGCTGATGCTGACAGCCCCGCTCCTGCCGCCCGCTTGTGGCAGACCACACTTCCACGCTCACCGGCAGGCACCGACTGGCCATCTGGAGGACCGGGAGGGTGTGTGTATGTGTGGCCCGAGCGAGCGAGAGAGAGACCTTACGTGCATTGTTGTTGTTAGCATCTGGTGCTAGCTAGCTGCGCTAACGGATATAAGGAGCTGTTTAAATGAAAACAGAGGAGCGACATTTCGCCACAACTGTGCCGAGCACTTGACTTTATGCAGGAAGCCAGACAGTGGGACATTGTACGAAAAGTCAGCACACTCAGCACGGATAGTGCGCAACATGATTGCAGCGTCCAGGCAGCTCCGGTTCGAGCATATGCCTTGAGTTGCAGTAGCGTGGCGTGGGGAAAAATGTAGGGGAAGCCCATTTTTTGGGTCGGGGGGTCAATAACGTAACCAGATGAGTGATTACAGCGCCCGGTATCATTTTACACACATTTGTATCACACAGATGCAGGATTTGCACACGCCTGTTATCTAACCGAAAGGTCCGCACACACTCTCCAGCTGAAACTCTCTCCTTATTAATTTAAGCATTTTACTTATTAATGTATGCAGACAATTACACAATCTATGTGATTTGTGGATTTACCGTGCCTCTCAATTGCCCGTGACAGGTTGGCAAGGTCGATGAATCCTGAAGTTGCCCAAGGATTGTTCAGGGAGCACGAATCCATGTCAAAAAGAAGACATGGCCAGCAAAATAGACGCTGAAGTTTAGCGCTTCCAGTTAGCCACTCCGTGCGGACATAAATGTCCTCATTGAACGTCCGATTCTCTCCCTTTTTCCTCTGTGTACACACAGCTCGAGTGCGGGCATTGGCCTGTCATCTGATTTAATTTTTAGTTGCTGCTGTAGCGGATGTTTAGTAAAGTTATGTTTGATTAAGTACGCCAAATCTCCACCCTCCATAATGCTTCATTTGCTTGATAATTTCTAACGGCGGTGATGACAGTATTAAAACTGATGTTGATGTGATTTGATTGGATGGCAGTGTCCAATCAAATTGCCAGCCGCCTCTGAAGGGAAGCAAGAGGCGGCTGGCTTCCCTTGGCATGGCCCTGACCAATCACAGGTTGGCAGGGGCATCACGTGGGTCTCATCTGATTGGTCAATCCCTCCATTTTTTTTCACCAAAGGAAGCCAGATTCGGCTGGCCTCCTCTCGCAACAGTGAGTGCAATCTACTGTTTCACCATAACATCTAGAGGGGCGCTGTTTGTTTCACTCTTTGTAAAATACTCAATGAGAATGGGTTAGAGACGCAGGGCCGGCCCTCGGCATAGGCAGTATAGGCGAATGCTAAGGGCGCATCAACCCATAGGGGGCGCCGAAAATTGAAAAAAATAAAAAGTTAGAAATTAAAAAAAATAATATTTTTAACACAATTTCCCGATTTTGGATCAACAAAGTACATCTTATTATCTTATACTAACAGAACTATGCCTATATTGCATACAGCGCCCATAAACTATGGCACACACCCCCCCCCTCCCAAAATCAATCAATCAATCAAAATTGAACTGCCCTAGTCCCAGTAAAAACCAGAGGTTTATGTGAAATTGTTCTTTTTTTTAAATAATGGTTTTAGTGTGCAATTATAGGTTTTAATTTTGTATTTGTATTCATTTAAAATAAATCAAACTCCCAAAAAACGTACACAGCTTCTGTGTGTTTTTATTAACATTGGAATCTACTGTGTAAGCGGCCGCGGGGGGGAGAGCTTTAGAGAGCTCTCTCCTGAAAGACTGAGAGGCTCTGATAACCTCAGCTCAGTGAGATAAAGGCACACCTTTATATGATCATCATAGTTGTAAAAAAATAAGAGAATAGGTGAAAAACAGGTATAAAATACTGACAGTACAAAAAAGTTGTTATTAATAAACAAGAATAAAGTTTAAAAGGGAGTGATTTGTAAAACATCCATAAAGAAAAAGAAAATCTGCTTCCAGTTCTGTTTCATATGTGTGTTGAGAGATGTTTCCATAGATCTCCTAATGTTGCTCTCAAAGTGCACCAGATTGATGCTTTTAACTTCAATATTTAAAAAAAGGTCTTCCCGGGGGAGCATGCCCCCAGACCCCCCTAGAGGAGGTGAGGTCCCCCCCCCCCACTTAAATCATGTTCAAATGGATAGGAAACTAAATACAGTTGCACACATCTTGTGTCAATATCTTTGTTTTGGTGGTCATGCCACAACCGTGCACGCACGAATCATAGTGAGTGTCTGCATTTTGGGGGGGAGGGCGCCAGCTAAAATCTTGCCTAGGGTGGCAAATTGGTCAGGGCCGGCCCTGGAGAGACGGGCCGGCAGCAACACACAGCAAAGGAGAATTATCGAAACAAAACAAAGTGTTTTTATTTATTTATTTAAATTATAACTACAATCCGAAAAAACAGGGGAAGCCTGGCTTCCCTTGGCCTCCGGGAGAAAACGCCACTGTTGAGTTGCACATAGCTCCAACGCCCATACCACCGACGACATGTTTGTTTACTGTCCTGGCTTCACGGCCGCACACCATTTACGTCACAGCCAGGCATGAGTTAGGGAGCGCTGGATTTGTGAAGAACTCCCCTCTTCCTAAACCACTAATACCACAGTACTGGCAAAACGGGAGGAGCCGAGTGAAAAACAAGCGCCCCTCATCCCAATCCACCCACACCGCAGTATTTTTTTCTTTTTTTTTACCCAAAAAATATATTGTATATTATCGGAGCTATTAATACTGGTATCGGGTTTATCGGGATGACGTCATAATTCCTAATATCGGACCGATAATTATCGGGCCGATAATTATCGTGCATCCCTAATATATTTATATAAATATATGTGTTTGTGTGTGTCCGCATCTGTAGCCTGTTATTGTCTCATTATACCGCACTGTGAATGAATTAAAAGTAAATATATAAGTCGTCATGAACACATCTGTCCATCAGACAGAGGGCTGCTGTGCCTCCCGTCATCATCCACACATGCATTTCCAAACATTTGGACTACCTATGATGCAAATGTATTATCTTTTCAATTTACACACGGCATCTATTGCACGTCTGTCCGTCCTGTGAGAGGGATCCCTCCTCTGTTGCTCTCCCTGAGGTTTCTCCCATTTTCCCCTTTAAACTGTGGGTTTTCTTTGGAAGTTTTTCCTTGTACGATGTGAGGGTCTAAGGACAGAGGGTGTCGTATTGTCATACTGATATTTTGTACAAACTGTAAAGTCCACTGAGACAAATGTAACATTTGTGATATTGGGCTATATAAATAAACATTGATTGATTGATTGATTGATTGATTAATGGACGTCTCTTTAAAATGACCGCTCAGAGGAGAGGAGTTCTCATTTCTCTAACCGCCTGCTGCTTCCCCTCCTCTCTCCTCGGTTCCCCTCCTCAGTCCTCCGCTCGCATCTCCTGTGGGCGGGACTAAGTATGGAGGAGGGGAGTCGAGGAGGGGACATTTAAGAATTGAGAAACCTCTACTGTGTGTGTGTGTGTGTGTGTGTGTGTGTGTGTGTGTGTGTGTGTGTGTGTGTGTGTGTGTGTGTGTGTGTGTGTGTGTGTGTGTGAGGAAGTCCTTGGATTGGTTAATTTGGACCAATCAGCCTGGTCATAGCTCTGGGCGTGGCTACTGGGTATTCAGACGTCACAATGCCCAGGAAGAACATGAGAAATCTCCAACGAGGCGTTTTGGGGAGGTATTTTCTATGTTAGAGTTTTACTCGCTACAGGGTGTACTTTGAGGGTTTTTGACTCTGCAGACCGTTTACATGCATAACAAGCTTCATAACACACAAGGGGACGGGTAATAACCGGAAAAGCATGAAAATGAAATGGTTTAATGCAGACTGAGAACTTATTACATTTCAAAGTCCATTGGCAGGCAAAAACTGCCAAATGATTTCATAATCTTTTTATTTACAATATATCTTTAATTTACATTAACTTGGCTCTGGAACATTGTAATGTTTTACTACTGTTTTTCTTTTCTTTTTTACTACATTTTTTGGACATTTTGTGGAGCACATAAACACATGTGGTTAAGTAAAAACAGGTTCTACAGATTCAATATTATCCGGATGTTAATCATTGTCTAATGTCTGGATAGCACTATTGACATATGGGTAATTTCCCAGAAGTACTATTTGATGATTTAATATTGTTCTTCCCTTAAAACGTTATTTTGAAGGAGAATAGTTCTGAAAAGATTAACAGACCACTACAATTTTTTCTTAAATCTCAATCTCGACATGTATGGCAGCCAATCCATTCCAGTTTATGTTGAATTCCAACACAGAGAAATGTTGTCAGTAGTTTATAGAATAAATAATTTTTTTTTAATTTTACTCCAACACAAGTAAAATAAATAGTAAAACCAGAGAAACTGATAATCGTGCAGTGGTCTCTTCATTTTTTTTCAGAGCTGTATTTACTTTCATAAAACTGTTTGGCCATTTCCTACATAGCTTATATTATAAACCTACAATGTAGGCCCTAAGTAAGCGAGAAAATAAAGTGAATTATGAATTAACAATTAATATATAAATGAATAAATAACTAAATCAAATTTTATTTTTTTAAATAACACTATTGTTCAATTATATCCACAATAATGAAGATGGATTTCCGGACTTTACGAGAAGCCACTTGAGGTGAGCAATAGGCATTCCTGTCGAGAACAAAGCGAGCTTTTGAACAGAGAAGGAAAAGTACAGTAATGAAAAACATATTGAGTGACCTGCCAGCCTTTGTGGTACGATGACATTAATATTCTGCATGTGTGTGTGTTTATGTCTTATCAGACTCTCTTCCTGTTGGCGTTTTTATTCATAAGCAATGTTTGGTCAGTGCTCATGGGTAAGTCTTCGAGTATTTACTTTAGCTATCTCCCGCAAACACTCACCCGATAAGAGTCCAAAACAGATCCATAAAGCCAGTAAAGCTCTGACCTTATTTCCTTATTCTTCAAGTTTGTAGGAAACGTAAATCCCATTTGAATTTCTTTCCGTAGAGTTCGCTTTATATTCACACAGAAATTTGAACACCCACAGCTGTGGTTTCACGGAGACAGACTAATTAATTTGTGTGGGCAAGAAGTCCATGTTTAGACTCAGTGGTCAGGATATTGTTGACTCATTTGTTCTGTATGTCTCTAACAGTCTGCATGGACAACAACAGAAATCATGCTTTCAGCCTTCTTTCTGGACATCTATTTATAATATAAATTACACTAGACAATGCTTGCTATACTGGGAACAAGGCTTGAAAATCCTTTCTCACAATCAGCTTGTGTAAAAACTCATGCATTCTAGTTTATCTCTCGTTGTTTATTGTCGGTTGATTGTGTAGCTAACCTCCGACCTCTCTGTGGAGGGCATACTGAGTCCAAAAGTGAAAAAGCTGCTCTCAGAGAGTCAGTGCAGCTTTGGCTGATCTGCAGCATTGAGGAGGAATATATACTGTTTGGTTAGTATATCTTTTTCAGCCATCCTATTGTGTTAGTAAAATCAGTCTAGCTTTTGAATACCTAGTGTAGCAAATAAGTCTGTTAGCAAAACTAGGGCTAATTATATCAGTATTACCAGAAGTTAAACATAAATATGTGGGCTACATTCTCTCAAGCACTGTTGTAAAAATGTAAGACTTGGAATTTCTTTGGTATTACAATGACTCAATCACATTTTATTTATATAGCCCACTATCACAAATTACACATTTGACTCAGGGGGCTTTACAGTGTGTAAAGCATACAATACCCTCTATCCTTAGAGTTGAGCGCTAAAAGAACAACTACCAAAGAAACCCCACAATTAATCTGTAAAAATGTAATAAAACCCATGGAAGAGCAACAGAGGGATCCGTCTCCCAGGAGTATAGTTTTTTTTTTTTAAATAAAGAAATTACAACAGAGAATCCAAAAAACAATGTGATATTGATGCTTCTTTTACTTTAGCTAAATGTCTGAGTACTTTTGGTACTATACATATATTGTGATGCTTATACTTTTACTTAAGTAACATTTTGAATGCAGGACTTTTATTTCTAGCTGAATATTCCTACACTCTGGTAGTTCTCATTTGTTGTATTTAAGTACAAGATCTGAGTACTTCCCCCACCTCTGACTTTGACCACCACCACTGAAAGTGAGAAGGAAGCAACATTGTGGTTTACTACTATGCCAGTGTCATAACATAACATACCAGTGACCACTAGAGGTCGCTGCAGCTCTGCTCCAACAGTCACTGCAGCCCAGCTCCGCCAGTACAGGAATGTAGCTAACCAGTGTTTCCAGTTCGCCAAGAAAACACGGTGATATAAAACAAAGAACAGCAACCACAGAAGCCATGTCTCATCGTTATGTGGTGGACGGATGCAAACTGGTCGCGGTGCTTCTTCTTTGGCTTGGTAAGTGGGGTCAATGCCCTGTGGAGATAGCTATGGTGTAAGCTAAACTGCTAGCATTATGCATGATAAAAATACCGGAAGTTAGTTTGATGTGTACTTCAAAGTAAAACTATGTATGTAATTTAACAGAGCGAAGCGTGCATTTTTGTTTAAAAATGTTAAACTGGAGGTATTTCATGTTTAATTACAGACTTAAGTTATTCTCCAGTGAGACCCTGGCATATGTTTTGCTACAAAATATTGTCTATTTTCTTTTAATTTGAAATTGAAAAGAGTCCCCGGGGAGGTTATATAGTGTATAGCTTGACGCATCACTCAATTAAATGCAGGTGCTCCCATGGGGTTTGTAAACAAGACGATTTAAAGAACAGTTGTTAATTTCAAGGTAATCAAATATGTGATAAATGTGTCTCTAGGAAGAATATGCACTGATAGAATCACACAGAAGCTTGCTTGGGAAGAATAAAGATGATTGTTTAATGAAGTTACAAACCATGCTGATTTAGTTTGTTGTGAAATTGACATTGTCTATAACCCCGTGGTCCAATTGCCACATATTCTTATCAGTAAATAATGAAAAGCACATGCAGGTTATTTGCAGCCAGATATTTGTCTACGAATGAAATAGTAAGCTAAAAAGTGAGAAGACCTACACACCCAGTGACTCCTATGGCCAGTGAGGCCTCTGCTCTGGTAAAAGAGGTTAAAATGATCAATTCCACCTGGGCTTTTCCTTATAGGTCCATTTAAAATGTCTTCCGTGAAAAGGGTTCATTAAGTTGTTAGCTGTCCTAAACTAACATGATTAACAAATCCAAAAGAAGGGTGATGGAAATGTTGGTTAAATACAGTTTAATACAGGCCAAAAGAGACAGTTAAATTGAGTGAAAACGTCTGTGACATGCCATGAGTGTGCATTACCCCAAAAGACAACTGGAAAAGCCAAACGCGTTTAAGACCTGTAATTTAAGAATTTTCCAGAAATGCACAAGGTATTATAAAAATGTTTTCATGGTCTTTCATTTGATTGCTATTGACACTTTTCCCTTTATTAATGATAGCAGGAATAGTGCAGGTGTAATATATTACCTCAATGATGATACATTATTTATTCTATTTCCTTAACACCGTATCATTCATGTTATTAAAGAGAGCTTTTCCCATACCAGACCATCCTTTACCATAACATGCCAACATGTCTGCAGTGAAAGGGAGCCTTTAGGTTTATTATGGGTGGTAATGTATTTAATGTGTATTTACCATAATAACAACAGTGATTGTCATAATGAAGTTTACCTCTGCAATATACTTATTTGTGTTCTTCCTTTATGCATTCACAGCAGGCACCTGCTGGTTTATTTTGCCCTGGGTGGTACACATATAGATTCATGTTTAATGAAAATGCATTAGATCAGACAGTCCCATAGAGACCTGCACCTGCATGAGTCACCTCATAGCTCACATCTTGGTTCATCATGACCTATTTCTCAGCTCAATATTACAGCATTCAGAAGCATTTTGTGGTTAGATCTGGAGAAATGTTATGTTTTTCTTTTTTTAGGGTTAGGGTTACCATGTATGAAAAGTATTTTTTTTTAATGTCTGAGTCAGGAAAATAACTAAATGGGCTTTGCACACCACTAATAATAGCACAAATGCACATTGACTTCCCGTCATATCTCTGCCTCTAGCGTAGATTGACATGATTATTCACTAGTATACCGGTGACTCTCAAGTCAAGTATGACACACCCACAAAGCCTATACTGAGCTCTGCAACTATCTGTCCTGGTTTCAAAGTTTGTTTTGAGTCATGGACACAAAGTCTAATTTTTTATCTTGTTAATATAGTGAAGAGGTGTTGGTGCAGTAATAACTATTACTACTGCTGCTGCTACGTCTGCTGCTGGGGCTGTCGCGCTATTACAGATGTGTCAAGACTTTAAAGTGTTGTGAAAGTGGTTCCTGTCTTCATTTCTAAAGACCAAGCTAGAGATATAACTATAATGACATAACATGTGCTTAATATTTAGCAACAACTAACAATTATTTACATTTTTGGTTAAAGTGTTTACTAGACTATAGTTTTTAGACTCAGTGCCAAGATCTCAGAGCTCAATATCACATATTCAGTCCAAAACCCAAAGATATTAAAAAAAATGTTTAAACAGGCAAACATTTCTGAATGCAATATGACATCTGCTGTAAATGTATTTTCCGATATCCCCTGCAAATCAATTTAAAGAATAACTGGCTGCTCATGTCATTACATATAATTAATGCATTTTGATGACTAAATGTTGCCTCTTCTTTCGCGCCCTAAAGGTTCCTCTGCTGGGGACAAACACGTAGGTCATGCTCATGTAAGTGTTGCCCAGATTCTGTGATAATGCTTCATCGTGTGGCTCAGCAGTGTGTGTCAGACTAAACCAGATCCCTCTGATCCCCGCAGGCAGCAGAGCATCAGGAGCACACTGCACACGGCCCTGCTGGTGAGTGAGGGATTGCACCACAGATGGTCTGATGTTTTGTTCATAGATTACGTTTAGGAAAGCAAATCCATTATTCGATGCATGATAATAATTTCATCGAGAGCATGTAAATGAAAAGCTCAACCCAGACACCAACATCTTTGAGGTTGTGGATTGAATTAAAAGAAGGACTAGTTAAATACACTTATTTGCTTTCTTGCTTATAGTTCTATGAAAAGTTTGATTGGACTCATGTTTGTACCCTAAATATAAAGCTATGGCCAACTGGCTTCATTTAGTACACTGAAAATAGAGACTTACTTGGAACCGTCCAACATCAACACAAACCACCTGTTAGCACCTCCAAAGGTATTTAGCTAACTATTGTTGTATTCTGTTTGTCCAATGCATCCCAAAACTGGTATGTAGAAATAACAAGTCGTAGTTTCGACAGTGGTTATCTTTGCCGGGAACAGTGACTTTGTGAATTTACGTCATCACTTTGAGGTTTTCCTGTCAAGAAGACACACTGTCGAAGTGTATGTCACACATTTTCTTTTGTCTCGTGAATTTATGTCATCACTTTGAGGTTTTCCTGTCAAGAACACACACTGTCGAAATGTATGTCACACATTTTCTTTAGTCTCTTTGCCTTTCCTTTTTTGTCACCCCTCTTAACTTGTGTGTCCATGTTCTCTCAGGTTTAGAGGAGGTGGTGCTACTGATCCAGAGTCAGAGGAACACCTTCCACGCCCGTCACGCTGCTCAGAGGAAGGTGGAGATTCTGCAGCAGGCCGCTGAGCTGGGACAGGTAACATCTGGCAGGCAGTCGGTTAACACCTTTTGCTGGGTTTAGATCAGGGGTATCCAAACTTTTTTCTCCGAGGGCCACATATAGAAAAACATAGGAAGGGCTGGGCCACTCACTAGAGGTATATTGCCTCATAAGTTGAGTTATAAGTTAGCAAAATAAATCAAATATAGGTAAATTATGCTTTACACTTGAATATGCTTTAAGAAAAAACAGCCAACATCACAGCTCTCCCGAGGGTTTAATTTATTGTGTTACAGCTAATTCCTTAAAATAGAAGCCTCAGATTGCTCATAATAAGAGGAAATATGAAGGGTATATTTCGAGCTGGTTATGGAAATAAGTTATTAGACTTAGATTTGTTAGAAAATGTTTTCAACTTTGATGGAATTCATTTGCAAGTGAGCTTATTAACACATGAATACTACTGTGTAATATATGTTTACATATATATTTAAGAAGTGCAATACAAGACAAGCAAAAGTTTCATTTGTGGGCCATATATCATTATACTTTTTGAATTAACTGAGGGCCAATTCAAAATGGCCTGCGGGCCGCATTTGTCCCCCGGGCCGTAGTTTGGACACCCCTGGTTTAGATCTTAGATCTGGTCTTATGTGTCCACACATGTGTCCTCATGTGTGAACCATCTGTTATCAAGATAGAACTCAAGATACTATGATAATAAGAGGGGTACTGTAACCTTTAAAATAGAGTTATGTTTTTAATAATCTAATACATTTTTGCACAGGTTCGTTTATGTAATTATGCCGACTAACTGGCCAAATGTTTTCAGGTTATTAATCTTTCCCATTCTAATAAACATGATATTTAAAGAGAGCCTGGAAGAAAACTGCTTTAATCTTATTGGACTCAAGGATGACCTCATTAGAATTACTATGAACTCACACAATACAATGTTGGTCATAACTCTTGAATACATATGCTAATTATGAACATTTGACACCATATCTTTTATTATACATAATTATAAAGAGATCATATTTAGTTTAAGACATTTTTGGATATACCACCAGGACATTGTGTGCAGACAGTCCCAGAGGGTAAAACCTACTAATGATGGTGACTTTTCAACTCGAGCCACCATGAAGTTGACATTTAAATATGTAATTTAGGTATTGGATGGATTCCCTGGATTTTCCATCCAACCATTCATGAAGGTGAATTTTCCATTTTTAAATTATAACTTTATGAATGATTATCAATATAAAAGTATTTATTTATTCAGTCAAGGCAATTGTACAGTCTCATATGAGACATGGTTAGCAGCAGATATGTAAAGTAAACATTATTAGTAGTAAATGGGCTACAACATAAAAAATGTTATATGCTTTAATGGGGATTTTTAATATAAAGTACATTAATTAGTTATCCTATTGCTTGAGGCACATTTATTACCAGCAGTAATGGTTTAGAACAATACATATTTTTTATTGCCGTTAAGGACTCAAGAAGGTTCAGTTTATTCTTAACAGCAGACAGGGTATAATGCTGCAGAAACAATGCTTTTACTGTGTGTCACTGATTTTTGGAGTGGGAGTTTGCATAGCTGTCTTAATACACGGCTACCGATAGGTGTCCTCCTTGCTGTAGTGTTCCCCTCCCTGAGCTCAGAGGAAAAGGGAGAGATGAGACGACAGAAATATGGACATGGGAGCCTGCAGTGAGAAGCTGTTGATTTTCCTTTGAAGCAAAAATACATTGATACTGTTTTTTGTATTCTTCCTCCGAACTCTTTTTCAATCCAGAAAATCATAGTAATAATGGCAGAAGGTAGTCAGCAGGGGCTCCGTTGAAAGATTCTTACATAGAAAGAAACAAAAATGTCCCAGGGTTGAGAAATCTACTAATGATTTTAACCATCTCACATGTTGTTTTCTCTGAGTCCCTCTCCTGTGTTAAGTGAGGAGACCTGATGTGTCTGCAATCACATGGCAGTCTGTCAACAAAAAATGTGGTGCGGCAGCTGGAGACATTTTTAAATCACATATGCATAGGGATGGGTATCGTTTGAAATGTATCGATTCCGATTCCAATTCCGGTTCTGCTTATCGATTCCGGTTCTTATCGATTCCCCGTTTTGATTCCAAAATTGTAAAAGAAAGAGGTCAAACGTTTAGATAACAAAAATATCTTTATTTTTTTAAGCTTTAACTGACATTTTTACAAATAAAAAATATACATGCAATACAAATGTATTGCACAATAGCTGTGCTTTATTTTTAACTGAGCTATGCCTGTGGCAAGCTATTAACAAGCATTACACTGTGCCTTGTCTTTTTCTTTTTTAGTGTAGTGGAGCTTTAGAGCGTTTACCGCGATCCATCTTTGGTGTTATGAAGTGACTGAGCTCGTGAACTGTCTATGGGAGGGCAGGCCGCCTCGCTGCGGGGAAACTGTGGACCTCTGTCGCCGCAACTTACATGATGCCGTTTAAAAAAATGAAGGGCGGTGCCGGCCGTCAGCGTACCGAGCCGGCCGTTCTGTGATTCTCCAGAACACACAGATGGCCAGTCCTCCCTTACCCTGGCTGTATTCCACCGGGTCACCGCGGTGCAGACGGACCCGGTGGAACCGTTAAGCAGAACCGAAATTGTGTATTTTGTATCGGTAGGCCTACCCGGCATTTTCTTATCGGTTCTCATCTGGAACCGAGTTTCGGTTCTCAACCCTATCAGTGAGTGATTCAGCAGCGACAGAGTGGGAGCACTGAATACATTTGAAATCTCTGTTTGTTTTGTTTTGAAGCCACATTCTGGTTTTGTTTGAGGGGTGACCGCACCAATTTCTATCTGACAGACAGAAAGATAATGCAGTTAGTTCAGTGTGGCTTTATGGTTATAAAATGAGTGAGCTGCCCGGCAATTAATTCTAATTTATCATTAATGGCTTGTTAAATTATTGTTAAGGGCATGAGAGCTGTGAAGAGCAATTCATCAGTATACTTAATGTAAAGAAAATGGCTCAAGAAATTATTTTAATTTGATGTAGTCTGGTTCTATGCAGTCTGAAAGGAAGTCTACAGACACTCAGAAAAAGAAAAAAACGTGCAACACCTCCGCAGTCTTGAGGTAATTGCGATATGATCATTAATTCAGTTAAATCAAAAATAAATTAGATTTTAAGTATCTTTAGAGCATCAATCATTTAGGGGTTACATCTCGATGAATTTTCTCAGATCATTATTACTTCTGTAAACATGATGAACTTATTTTATCAAAATGTATTTTAGCTAATTAAATATTGATCTTTCTAATGCAAAGGTTATTTTTGGATTAGGAAAGTCTTGACTTCAATGTCTTTTAAACATAACTTTGGAAAAGAATAACAGGTATGAAAAGGGAAGTTTTATGTATGAATTAAAAAGAGATTTCCACAAAATCCAAGAGAAACCATTAATGTAACTAGTGGCTTGTATATTTAAAGGTAAACAAAAAGGTGTTATACTGTATGTATAATATTTGTGGTCTGCATCTTGCACTGTTGTGACGCTATACCATTAGTAAATGTCTCAAGGACCCCATTTTGTCATAATGATAAAAAAAACTTTAAACCACAGCCAGGTCTCATAATTTGACTGCAACCAGTTCTTTCTCTTTAAACGACCAATGCACGATTTGCAATGACATCTCAGAAGAAAACCCCCTAAAGGGGCCCCAGGTCATTCCTGGTGAACTTGCATGATTCTCGTAACTTTGTTAAAGTTTTAATTAAAAGTCAATGAAGAGGCTGAAGCCTGAAAATGAAAAAAGAAAGAGGAAAAAAGAGAATTATGGATAAAGACTGTGAAAAATAATACACAAATTAAATGACCCAGTAATTACAAACAGATAATAGAAAGTTGGATCATTAAGAGAAGGATTGTACAATACGCATTTAATAAATGAACAGCCATTCTAAAGAAAACATCAGAATCAATAACATAAAATAAGACAATAAAAAAACAAATAATAATATGATTGAAACATATTTTAAGTGCTAAAGTAGTTACCTTACTAAAACCCTAAAATGTGTAGCAATGTAGTTAAGTGTTTGTGGTTTTTCAGATATTAACGTCATATTTACATTCATATTAAGAGTAAAACAGACTTGAAACTTAAAAACAAAATAAGCAATAGGTCCACCCTGGGAATTATAGCCTGAGACCCCGACAGACCACCGCTGACTGCAGGTCCTGAAAGTGCTGGACAGCGTATTGATAAGTGTTCAATCATCTCAGCATGTGTGCTTCAGAGGACGTGGTGATTTGTCAAAGTGAGGAAAATGACTGAGAGCTTTATCTAGATTTGATGTTGATCACAGATCTTGATTGTAGCTAAATGTTTCTCAAGAATCTAGGTTTTTCGTCACTTTTTTTTTTAGCAATGTGCGTCATGGTTTCAATGTAGATGATTAAAGGTGGCAAACACACATTAACTCAGCTTCCTGTCTGACTTGCATACAGACAGCTTATCGTCTGTGGGACATATGGCTGTTTTATTGTTTATTTCACAACACTTAAATTGTTTCGCTATAGAGTAATCTATATTTGCACAGCTGTGGTCATGATGTCACCAACATTTTAACAGCTACATCTCAATTGTAATGTTAGTGTAATTTATAACACCTATTTATATTCACATCTTTCCTGGCATATTGTTCAAAGGAAGAGACAGACACTTATAAACGTCTCACATTTGGCCCTTTATTTGTTGGCTGTAACTGCAGGCTTTTAAATCAGCCTTTTCAGCCTCATCATCCAGCTTCATTACAGAGTCCCGTCATTTGGCAGCTGCTCTCTCAGCTCTCTTCGCTCACATCTCGCCACACTTACAGCAGATGTTAATAACCATATTTAACACTCAGCATCTGAAGTGGTGTGGTTGCATGAAAACGCTCTATGTGTGAATATCTGTGGGAACTGGAAGCCCTAAAGCTACTTTACTTTTCAATGAATATTATCTTTCCTTTGTGGGAAATTGTGCACTTAACTGTGGAAGTAAATAAATTACCAAAACGTTCTGTCACGCCAGAAACTAAAATAATACCATTTATTTTATCAGACTCATGATGTTATCAAGTATGTTCTGGTATTTCATCTTAGCCTTAGCTTTACATAGACATACGAGTCCTCCAAAAATGTATATAATAAATAGTTTTTATTCCTAATATGGCTTTAAGAATTAAGAATAATTTTTTCCATAGTGTCACTAATTTCATGATTATTTATTCATTTCTCCTAGCTAAGGCTACTGAAGTCTAATTCAAAAGGCAAAGAAATCCTTCCCTAATGAAGATTAATGATATGCACTTTTTGCTGAAAATGTTTTAATGAATTGTTGATATAATAATACAATTCATCAGATCATAATCATCTTAAAGCCTGAGGTGTTTCAGTGCTGTGGAATTATATTTTCCTATAGTTTTTATTACTTTTTCCAGAAGGAACAAAAACACCTCTCTGAATAATTCAATGCGTTGCAGGGAGACAGTGAGAGTGACGCTGAGTTCTGCATTACATGTTGTATTTACATAACATTATATAAAACAAACACTCTTTGGCTCTTTGAAATAAACATGGATGTGACCAAATTAGGGGCGTGACCTCTGCGGAGATAAGTAAGGATCATACGCTAACCTTAATTTCCAACCTATACTTATCTATACTTACATTCATCCTCATAGTCCTATGAATAACGTGTGAAAGAGAGAGTGAGATGTGTGCGTTCTTCTGAATGAGTCACTTAGAGAGGAGGAAGTTGTAAGAAACAGCGTCTGAATCAACTCATTCATTTAGTCTGTTACCAAACTAGAAAAACAGTGCACACAATGTATGAGCAGATACAACATCAATATGTTCCGGATCGAATCCTCGCCTCCTGTCAGCGTGTCAAGATATGTTTCATCAGTAACAGTGGATCATTAATAATTTCATCCAAATCTTGTAGCCTTTGTGTGATTTCTCGCTCATGAGAATGTGATCTTATGTCAAACCCTCTGAAAACCAATTTGTGCTCTTCTCACTCCTGTCATGTATGCTTTAATTGTACACCTGTATTGCCTGTAAGCCCCTCCCCCCTCCTCACTTCTGTCAAGCGACTTTGTTACCCACTTTGAAAAAAAGGTTGATGATATTCGCTCTTCTTTTTCTGACTCACCTTACTCCCCGCTGGGTCACCAGACCCTCCTTCCACCAACACACTTACCTCCTTTTCCCCTCTCTCTCCAAGTGAGGTTCTTACCCTCATTACCTCTGCCCGCCCTACCACCTGTCCTCTGGACCCTATCCCTTCAAACCTCCTTCAGACTATCGCTCCTGATATTCTACCGTTTCTCTCCCATTTCATCAACACTTCTCTAACTTCTGGTCACTTTCCAAACAGTCTCAAGGAGGCAAGAGTAAACCCTCTCCTAAAGAAACCCACTCTCAACCCGTCTGATGTTATAAACTACAGGCCTGTCTCTCTACTCCCGTTCCTGTCTAAATCACTTGAACGCGCTGTCTTTAAACAACTCTCCTGTTATCTCAATCAGAACAACCTTCTGGATCCGCACCAGTCTGGTTTCAAGGCAGGTCACTCCACAGAAACTGCTCTCATTGCTGTCACGGAGGAACTGCACACTGCCAAAACTGCATCCCTCTCCTCTGTCATCATCCTGTTGGACCTGTCTGCTGCATTCGACACAGTGAATCATCAGATCCTCCTTCGCACTCTCCAAAAACTTGGAGTTTCAGGCTCTGCACTTTCCCTCCTCACCTCATACCTGAAAGACCGTACCTACAGGGTGACTTGGAGAGGGTCTGAGTCCGACCCTTGTCAATTAACTACAGGGGTCCCTCAGGGCTCTGTTCTTGGTCCCCTCCTCTTCTCCCTGTACACAAACTCGCTCGGATCAGTCATTAGCCCGCATGGTTTTTCTTACCACTGCTACGCTGACGACACCCAATTAATTCTGTCCTTTCCCCGCTCAGAGACCCAGGTCGTCGCACGCATCTCTGCTTGTCTAGCTGACATCTCTCAGTGGATGTCTGCTCATCACCTCAAGCTCAACCTTGACAAGACTGAGCTGCTCTTCCTTCTGGGAAAAGATTGTCCCACTCTTGATCTAACAATCAACATCGGCACCTCAGTTGTTTCCCCGACTCAGACTGCAAGGAATCTGGGTGTGACCCTAGATAACAACCTATCCTTCACTGCAAACATCGCTGCTACAACCCGTTGCTGCAGATACACGCTTTACAACATCAGGAAGATCCGTCCCCAGCTGACTCAGAAAGCGACTCAGGTTCTGGTCCAGGCTCTCGTCATCTCACGCCTAGACTACTGCAACTCCCTCCTGGCTGGTCTACCTGCATGTTCCATCCGACCTCTGCAGCTCATCCAGAATGCAGCGGCTCGTCTGGTCTTCAACCTTCCTAAATGTTCCCACACCACTCCGCTCCTCCGCTCCCTTCACTGGCTTCCGGTAACTGCTAGAATCCACTTCAAGACACTGGTACTTGCTTACCATGCTGCGAATGGATCTGGCCCTTCGTACATCCAGGACATGGTTAAACCGTACACCCCAGCGCGTGCACTACGCTCTGCATCAGCCAAACGACTCGCTGCACCCTCGCTGCGAGGGGGAACCAAGTTCCCATCGGCGAAAACACGTGGGTTTGCTGTCCTGGCTCCAAGATGGTGGAATGAGCTCCCCATTGACATCAGGACGGCAGATAGCTTGCACATCTTCCGGCGCAAACTGAAAACTCATCTCTTTCGACTCCACTTCGAGCGATAGAACTATTAACGAAGCACTTTTATACTAATAAAGGACTGGCTTATCTAAAGCCAGTTGAGTAGCACTTGAAATGTTTGGCTCTATGAAACCTGATGTACTTATATGATTCTGTTTTCTTCAAGTTTGTATTTTGTTGGTCGAACGCACTTATTGTAAGTCGCTTTGGATAAAAGCGTCAGCTAAATGCAATGTAATGTAATGTAATGTAATGTATTGCAAGGAGATGATCATTAGTGTACACTGCCCTCAAGTGGTAAACAATTCAAATCATTCTCCAGCAGGACATTTGTTGTCTTTGGTTATCTTGGGGTAAATGATGTCTATCAAAGGCATTAGTATATTTGATGTTAGATCTTCTTGAAACACAGTGATGTAAAACAGTTTCAAATTGATGTTTTCAGTAGGATGTAACACCTTCATTTAATCAAGCTCATGCAATGTCTTTTTGTATTTATTTTTAGATAAGTGTTGGCCGTGATCATCATGATTTGGCTTCATTTATTTACCCAACATTTACTTAATATCTACATATCCCACAAAAACCTTGGTTGATCCTCTGATACAATCTTATAAATATTGTACTCATTTTGTGTGTACAGGAATTAAGGGAATAGCATAGCCTGTGACCTAAGAACTATAACTACACTGTAGCTATGTACAAATTACAATAAAAGCCTTGAATCCTTGAAAAGAATTCAGTAAATGACACCAATAAAATGCAGTATTCAAATTCAATATGTTAAAAATAAATAGCCATTTGATTGTTAATAATATTTAAAGAAACAACAACTTTATTTTGATCTTATGTGCTCAACAAACAATAACGGTTTACCCTCATGGCTCGGCTGCATACAGAGATGAAGATGTAGGAGTGTTTTTGTGCTCTAAGTGACAGGTTAACCTTGACGATGTTAACTCTGTTTTCCAGCCCTTTGAGATGATGAAAATATTAATGAAATATTATTTGTTTCCATGCAGGGAGTTCCAGTCGTTCTTCTTCTCCATGAGTTATCAGACTATGAAGGGGATTGGAGTATCCTCCCTGCGCTTCCTCAGTGAGTGTTAAACACACATATGGGGATGATAAACAAATTCATCAAATCAGATTCGATAAGCGTTCATTGAGAGTTTGGCTTTAATGATTCCTGGATTATAAAATAAATGCATGAATTGTATGGCTCTATGTGGATGTTTCCAGTCTCTTTGCCTTTTATGGCCAATCAGCATCCTGGTTTTTCTTCATTGAGGAAGGAACCAGCGTCACACTGTCTGCTCTGCTGCAGGTCCTCCACAGATACCAAGTCCAGGAGGTGAGATGCACTCTGACATGCACACTATTTTGAACAATGCTTACTGGGTGTACTAAACAGCCCTTTCAGCTACATGAATGATGGTGATGTTGCCTGCACTGATACACAAGCACTGATGAGAAAATAACTGAGCAACTTTTATTTTCATATCACTCTTTTCCCGTGCACCCCTTTGTAACTCAGGAGTGGTTCTTGGGTAAGCCTCTCTATGACAACGAAGCCTCCATTATCCACCACTATGCGTTCTCTGAAGACCTCGGTTCCTTCAGCTATCCGGACCCCGCCGCAGGCTGGGCTCTCAGCACGCCGCTGCTCCAGAGGTTTGTGTGCGCATGAATGTGTTGCTGATATGTTTGTCTCCTTTTCTTCATTATTTCCTTTTTTGAAAGAGTTGAAATCTCAAGGTTGTTTAAATAACACACTATCACAAGAGACTAGGAAATAAACACAACTGGAATACGTTTGAATAAATTCGTAATACACATGATGGTGTGTGTCTTACATCAGACCTTTGTACATTTCTTCATTCTTTTTTTTGGTTATCCTAACCTTTTAGGCTCTTAACCTTTTTTCATTACCATATTTTATTCAATATGCTCCTTAGATAACTTTTTATTTGATTTATTTGACTATTTTCTCCTTATAGCATTGTGAAGCACCTTGAGATTACGTTGTTTTTAAAGTGTGCTATATAAATGAAATGTATTATTATTTTCACTTCATTATTTTTGGCTTAAAGGAGACAAATGCAAACTAGACAAAGATGACTTTGACTGATAGCATTACCATTCATGTTTTTTCTTCCTTAAACTTTCATTAGATAATGATGACAATAATGCTTCTTTATTGAATTCTGGCAAAAATAATGGTGCTGTATAAATCTGATATTGTGACAGGCCTGGGAAAAGTTCCCACTTGTATTCGGCTGTTTCTCTTCTCTCAGTATTTTTCTCTTTAATGTGTTTCAGACTCGCTGAGCGGATACAATACAAGAGTCTGAAGTCAGATTTCACCATCGACTTGAAACACGAGGTACCTTGAATCATCTTCCAATTTCTGAATATGCGTGCCTTCTGCTGTTTATCACTATACTAGGATAACTATTATTAAGACTGCTGTTTTTCTTTAACATTCTACTTTCCGCCTCTAGAGCTGCTGTGAAAAGTGGCTCCAGTGTTACCTTCCAGGCTGCCTGGATAAAAGATAAATGCTTAGACGTGTACAAATCATAGAAAATATTCTCCCAGAAAGTAGATTGTTGTTGAAAAGGCTCCTGCAGCTTTCTATGCCTGAAGCTTCTGCTATTTATTATTATATTGTTGATGCAAAATGACTAGTTCTGAATGAATCTACTTATGTGTATTTATGTGTGTTGAGGGAGATTGAGTATTCACATCGAGCATTTTAAAATTATACTTTGAAAGTGGGAAAACCTTTTAGCCGGTTGTTTGGAAAGTTTGAAATTACATTATGGTACAGGGCCGGCCCTTGGCATAGGCAGTATCGGTGAATGCTAAGGGCGCATCAACCTATGGGGGCGCCGAACATTTTTATTTAAATAAAAACAAAATTAAATTAAAAAAAATGTTTTATTTACATTTCATAACAAAACAATTTCCCGATTTTTGATCAACAAAGTACATCCTATTATCTTATCTTAAAAGAACTACGCCTATATTGCATACAGCGCTCATAAACTGTGGCGCAAACCCCCCCCCCCCCCCAAATCAGGTAAGTTGAACTGCCGGAGCCGGGGCTACGGGGGGGAGGAGCAAGCAAGGGGGCGGGTCAAGTGTAATTTTTTATGTGAAAGTAGATGACAGCCCTCTCTTCACTTGATTAGGACAGGTCTCTCTGCTGTAATTAATGTAAATTACAGTAAAAACCAGAGGTTTATGTTAAATTGTTCTTTTTTTGAAATAATGGCTTTCGTTTGCAATAATAGGTTTTAATTTTGTATTTGTGTTAATTTAAAATCTTGCCTAGGGCAGCAAATTGGTCTGTTATGGTAACATTGTTTTAATTGTGTTTTAAATGTGTTCTGATACGGGAGTTCATTCAAAGTCAAAGTGATGTTTTTTTCTTTACTTCCCCCGTCTTCACAACTATTAAATACATTTATTCATAATGTTACTCATGCGTGATTCATAAACTTGGAGCTGTGTGCCCTCTTTTGAAAATGTCAATTGACTTGTGGGTAATGATTGTACAGAATAAATAAGTCACTATCTAAATGAGTGTATGTATATGACTTACCCATTGAGAGCTGCCAGAAAACTAAAGATAGTCATTTACAATTCGAGGAGCTGCCTTACCCGTCAATGCAAATCACTGTTTCAAATATTATGCATAAGCCCAACATTTGTCTTTTATTTTGTTTCTTTTATTTTTAGATTGCTTTGTATATTTGGGAAGAAGGAAATGGTCCAAAGCTGACGGCAGTTCAAGAGTTTTGTACAGAGACGAGAGACAACTGTGCCACCACATTTACATCCTACCTTCCCAACTGTGTATGTACTTTTATTACGTTTACAATATGGTGTTCATAAACCTTTGCACTAAGTTCTTGAAAAGTGTGCCTGTATTAGCCTGTGTTTTTTCTGAGTGTTATATTATGAGGACTTCAAGGTGTTCTTTCAGGGTTGCTTCTTTTAATCCACCATCTTGAATCACATTTATAACTCAGCTGTCCGGCTGAGTTTAATTTGAGTACATTACACACGTCGCTGGTGCCAAAGTCTATTATGCAGGCCGACAAATAATCGGGTCCTGCAGGATGAGTGAGCCCGGTCTGAAGGCCGTAACAGAAATCAAGAAGACAAAAGATTAAGAAAAAGGTGTTAAACAAAACAACCCACACAAGAATTTAATTTTAACTTTTTGTAATCTGCTTTAAAGAACATTTCACATGTACTTCGATTTCAAAGAAAAATGACTTAAAAGAATAACTTATAAGTAATTGTAGATTTGGTTTTCATGCACATAATCATTCTCATAATGTATATTTCCACATATTTTCCATTTGTTTTCCCTTCCTTTTCGCGCTACGGTCCTCTTATATGATAATGACACGCTATTTATGAATAAAACACTTTGCTGTATACATGACTTTTGTATTAAGCAATTTTGTATTTCCCGATATACGCTGTCTGCGTATATCGGGCAATATGTGAAAGGAGCATACATTTGAAGACCATCTGTCACAAGGAATACATTAATAATTTAGCGCTAGATCTGATGATGATGATCTCACAGGAATTAGTGTCAAGCATCATCAGGAAGTGTCTGAAGTTTGTAATGAATATTCTGCAAGTGTCGCAGATCAAAAAAAAGAATTAAAATCCCCATTTTTGCTGGAATACGAATAGAGTATTGACAGGTGTAGTCGATGATAATACCTGACAGCGCTGTTAGGACCTAATGTGCCTGATATTACCATCTGGACCTTATTTTAAGTCCATAACATTCATTGTATGTTCCACCTCACACTGTGCTTGTGGGTTCACCTTTGCACCTCTTGGCATTTTATAACTAAAACACATTCTTTTAAATAAAAAGTAACATTGTTTTTTCTTTCTTTCTTTTACTAGGGAGATCCGGTGTCAAAGAGAGATGTTTTTGTTGCTGTGAAAACCTGCCAGAAGTTCCACTCAGAGCGAGGTGTGTGCCTATTCCCGAATTTTTTTGAAGGGCAAGCACTGTTTACACATTGTTAATAATAATAATATTGCACATGCTATATAGCAGCGAGTGTTTTGTAATGAGGGTAATGATATTTATATTGACAGATTGAAAGTTCTCAGTTCGCTTAGCTGAAGGGTGAAGAGCTATATTGTTTGATGGCCACTGGGAGGAAATACCTCCTGTGGCGCTCCGTGGTGGTCTTCAGTGATCTCAGTCTGTGGCTGAAAGTGCTCCGGTAGGAAACCAGTGTGGCATGCAGGGGGTGAGACTCGTTGTCCAGAATGTTGAGAAGTTTCCTCAGCATTCTCCTCTCCGACACCACTGCCAACGACTCCTGGTCCACTCCAAGGACAGAGCCTGCTCTCCTGATGAGCTTGATGAGTCTGTTGGCATCAGCTGTCTTCACCCTGCTGCCCCAGCACACTACAGCAAAGAAGAGGACACTGGAGACCACCGAGTAATAAAACATCTGCGACATAGTGCTGCAGACGTTAAAGGACTCTGAGGAAATACAGGCAACTCTGGCCTTTCTTATAAAGGGCGTCAGTGTTTTTATTCCAGTCCAGTTTATTGTCTATGTGGACACCCAGAAATGTGTGACTGTCCACATCCATGCCCACGATGGTAATTAGGCTTGGGGCGGTACTCTGCTTCCTAAAGTCCACCACTAGCTCCTTCGTTTTAGTAACGTTGAGCTGCAGGTGTTTCCGACTGCACCACTCCACAAAACTGTCCACCACACTCCTGTACTCAGCTTCCTGATCACACTAGCAAGCCGATCTGTCCCCCTGAGGTCACGACATCGCAAAAATGAACTCTTTTAGTTAACGTTTATCACAGAGTAAATCGAAATTAAATGGAAATCACAGGACATTAAGCTGTGCAAGTTTTACTTCACAGTTTTAATTTGTCAACGCTTTTTTCTTTACTGCCACTCTCTAAACAGAGTGCCGGTCATTTAAAACATCCAATTTAAATTCACAACCTCGTTTAGTCTGTCTGCTTAAATTGCAACAGTTTGTGTAATTATCCAAAACATTGGGTTCTTTTTTTTAGGGTCAAAATTAGCCAGCAGTTAGGGACTGAATATTTTAAAGCAACAGACAAACTCAAAAGGAGAAAGATCAGAGCGATTAACTCCCCAACCCGCTACTTAATATTCAGGTCTTATTAGCATTGCAGGGGAAAGCAGTAGTGTGCACTCCAAACAATTAGTTAGTGGAATCATTTAAGAATAAATCAACATAAAACTAATTTTGTGATTACTTATTATTATCCAAATCCACATGAAGGGAATGACAATGCTAGTTCAAAGACACACTATTAATTCTCTCCTCCAGTCTCACTCCCTTCTGTCGTTATTTGATAGTTCTCATAATTAACTCTGTATGTGTCTGTGATTCAGATTCAATGTTTAAGGCTCTACTTTCTCTCTTCCACCTGGCCTCTTTTTTTCCCCTCTTCCATTTCTCCTCACAGTACCAGTGGTGAAGGCAACCTGGGAGAAAGACGCTGAGTTTTTGGAGTATTACAGCGACGTCACTGACGCCTCCATACCCACGATCAGCCTGGGAGTGCCCAACACTGAGAGAGGTAAGCGGATGTAGGAAGTGTAAACACACCACACCAAGAACAAGGGACTAGCTTCATTTGTTGCATTTGAACACACCGCAAAGATTACAGCCAGAAGCCAACAATCAGTTACGTTCTGTGACTGAGGAGATAATGTCACAGCAGCTGTGGTAGTGAGGGATCCCAGATAACAGCCTGTAGATATACACGTCGTTCTTTTGATACAAACATTTAATCAAAGCAGCGTTTGCCGAACCATTTTCACACTCACTCCTGGAGGTCATTGTGTAGTGAAAACATCATACATTAGACCTCTGTGTCCCCTTTTGACTTGAGTCATTTGTTTGTTTCCCTCACGTCTGTTTCTCTTTGCTTATATTGAACGATCTTGGACTGTGGGTGTGTCATGGCTTTTAGAGAGATTCAATCACAGAGGTGTCCTGACAGCAGTCGGAGGATCCCTCAGAAGGAGCTCGGGGGGAAGCTGCAGAGTTAGGGGATGTTTGTGACGGCTGTAACGACTACACCCCTGACCTAACTAGGTAGCTTTAAAATGTGTGGATGGAGGGGGATCAATAGATGATGCTGGGCCATAAGGGGATACAATCTAATGACTTTTCCTCTGTTGCCAGCATTAGGTCAAAGGTTCCACTTTCTTTAGTGAAATGTCATTTACTTGATGGATTGGCACAGAATATTCTAAAGACATCCATTGGTTCCCAGATGAGGTCTCCTAATAACTATACATCTAACTTTTCTTTTTTTGTGTGACTTTTCATCGCTTCAAAATAGTTAACCATTTTCAGTTGGATATTTTTACGGGATGATCATGTCGTTATGATCCTTTGACTTTTTTTATATAGCACCATCTTGAGGTCAATTGTGTCAGTTGTCTAATACTTTGCTTTATGCCAATAAACCTGCAGGCGTATTGAAATTTCTATTATTTAACCTAGTCTTTTTTGAATGTTACTTACTGTATATGATCTGACTGGGACATCTCAAGTTTTCTTCATACATTATCTTCATTCAGAAAATGGGGTATTTTGTTTGCCTAGCTATTTTGTCTTGGTGTAAAAATATGATATGTTCTGTGTTTTGTAAAAGTTAATATCATCAGTACCAGTGTGAATTGTCTATTTGCCAGATTTTCACAAAAATAATTTGGCCTTTGACGTAGATAACTTATTTCAGAACTATTTTAAAATGATCAACAGAAAAATAATCCTTTTTGTAAATATGTTTACCTATCGGGTTAAAACAGCCAGTGGATAAAATACTTTAATCGGGTCTGATGAGGTCTCATGAACCACAAACATGAATTGGAGATCCCTGCTTTATCTGTATGTCATCTCCCTGCAGGGCATTGTGGGAAGACATTTGCCATCTTGAAGCGGTTCTTAAGCAAAGACGTACCAAAGGCTGATTGGCTTCTCATTGTTGATGACGACACACTGATCAGGTAACTGGGAGAAGATATTTCGTTGTATTCTACAACTGTCAACGAAAGGAAGAAAACATAACCTTAGATATCACATGACAGTGATTTATTTTAAGATCATGCACACACACACACGCACGCACACACGCACACACACACGCACACACAGGTCACTTGCTGGCCGACTTAGTCAGTGATTTCAGGAACCAGTTAGATTTATAAATGTGTAACTTACTAACATTTCCAACAAAACTGGAGGAGGGAGCGAGATGGTCACAGTCTTGAGAAAAGCTTTGAACCAAAGTAGTTTTGTTGCATTAAAGACACAACTTTAGAAACGGTTTGAATCCCCTAAAATTCCTCTGTAGTCTCTTAGCATAGACATTTGATGTAGCCAAGACATTGTGTTGTGTTTCTCCATACAGTCTAGAGTCTATGATGTGTGCTTGTGTTTGGGAAATATGCACGCATGCTCCTCACTTCCTGTCTGTTTGCTGTCTGTAGTTTACCCAGGTTGCGGCAACTGCTGCGTTGCTACGACCCGAAGGAAGTAGTGATTCTGGGGGAGAGGTACGGTTACAGCTTGCTTCAGAGCGGATACAGCTACATCACAGGAGGAGGAGGGTGAGGCTGCAGGGAGTGTGGGTGCTGTTGATGCTAAGTTGTAAGGACAGAAGGTGAATCAAATTTTAACCATGAACCATGGGCTGTTTATTTGCAAATGTCGAGCTGTACAAGTACGGGAGCTGCACGTTGTCAACACTTCTTTCTGTGAGTGTGTGGGTGTTTGTGTTCAGCTCAGCTTCTGACTGAACTCAGAACTGTCCTCTTTCGGTTTTCTTTTTCATTTATTTTATCTGCACATACAATTATGCTTAAAGAAGAATGCTTTGCAGGGAACAGCCACAGTTTAGCCAGTGGTGTGAAAGCTGCACAAATACAAAAGTGTTATTAAAGATGGAGTAGGTGATTTTGGAGAAACCAGCTCGAGTGCGCTAGAATTTAAAAATACACAGCCGTAAGAAATCTGCTACTTCCTTACAGAGCCCCTCCTCCAACACACACGGACACGCACGAGATAAGTTTGTGCACAGATGGAAGGCTGACAGGCAGGTAGGCCATCCAGTTATTTTAGCCGGGCCGGCTAAAATGATTGGTCGTGCTTTTTACAGTACTACGGCTTCCACAGATGACATTTTTTTATGGATTTTTTGTCAAAGCACTTAAGATATTCATTGCTATCGGGATGTTAAGAGCATTCCATGGAATATAACAAAAAGTGTATCTCGAGCCGGTTTCTCAAAATTACCTACCCCACCTTTAAGTCAAAATTGGAGAATAAACGTTAACACTATATGCCTGTTGCATTGAGCAGCACAGTATGTGTATGACTGTTGCATTGAGCAGCACAGTATGTGTATGACTGTTGCATTGAGCAGCACAGTATGTGTATGACTGTTGCATTGAGCAGCACAGTATGTGTATGCCTGTTGCATTGAGCAGCACAGTATATGTATGACTGTTGCATTGAGCAGCACAGTATGTGTATGCCTGTTGCATTGAGCAGCACAGTATGTGTATGACTGTTGCATTGAGCAGCAGAGTATGTGTATGCCTGTTGCATTGAGCAGCAGAGTATGTGTATGCCTGTCCCAAAACGTTATTGCGACTGCATTCTGATAAATATTACATAAAGTATCAGTATTTCTTTAGTACACCATAGCATTAAATCAGTACATTTAAAATGCATATTAAATACAAGACAAATCTGGTAGGGTTGAAATCTTGTCATACATTTTGACTACAATTTGCTATATTTTTAATGTACTTTGTATATGTATTATATTATTGAATGATCAAATGACTAATTGTATGTTGATATTAAGTTATTTATTCACACTGACTAAAATGGCCTCCAAAGCAAATGATAATGTTGCTCTGACAAACATCATTCTAATTGATACCCTTTTTGCTGGTTTGGTCTCTACCAACTCCTGAGGGCTCTGTTAAAAAATGTAAACTTGCTGATAACACAACATTGGCAAGGCTGATATCACGAGTCAATGAATGAGCCTACAGAAATTAGGGTCTTGTCGCAAGTTAGCAAGGGCTGTCGCTACAACTTGAAACTAAAGTATTTTTCAAAACTAAGTAGCTGGTGTTTGACTCTTTGAGGGATGGGCAGGCTCTCTCACTAAAGACTATTACCAACTTAAAGATTGGAAAAGTGCACCGCTGGAACAACAACCTCCTCTCTAAATTGTGCTGCATGGAATTGGGATCTTCCTGATCATCAAAAAGTTCACCAAAAAAGTTTCATCCCCGAGCTGAACAAAAATGTTTGGAGTGTCCAGTGCGGGGAAGCTGCGGTTCTACAGAGCTACCAGGGAAAATGTTTTCATCTTTTTGATATTTGTGTGGTATGGCAACCAAACCAACCCCTTTAAACTCACTCCATCTATGACACGCATGAGACCGGCGTTGATTTCAAAGGTCTTAAAATAGTATAGGACTCCAGGCTTCCTGACAAACATCCTTAAGAACACTGCCCTCAGGAAAAAGACAACCAGAAAGTAGACATCCCCTTTTCTCCACAGCACTTACAGCACAACCACTAAATTACTAAAGGGTTCCCCAATTCTGCTCCAGCACTTTATAAAAGGTTTAAAGGACTGTCACTTTGTGTGTTTTATGGGACAGGGTGTTGTTGTGTGTGTTAGACCTTTTTATTTCCTATTATATGTCTTATCCTGAGCCCACTGAGACAAATTCACTTACAACTAAGTTGAAACATCTGACTCTGCTCAAGCTGCTGAATGCTCCACTATGTTCACCAGCTAACATTTATTTTGGCTACACATCCCGTCAAAAGAAAAAACAGTAATGGAAGCGTTGATAGTCCTGACAGGCTGAATACTGTGTGTGAAGAAAAGGATATTTGCATCCCAAAGTTCAAGGAAAACTGCCTCTTTGAAATATAAAAATAGTTTTACATGATAACATAACAAAAATGAATACGTTCTTCAGGCTCAGACAGCCACATAAACCTTGTATCATGTTTTATTGTGCTTTTAATTCCCTTTATTATTTAAATATCTGTTTTTTTTCTGTGAGCAGCATGGTGCTTAGTCGGTCTGCGGTGTCCCGGCTCGTTTCCAGTGGTTGTGGTTGCTATAGTGACGATGCTCCTGATGACATGGTGCTGGGCCGGTGCTTCACTTCCCTCGGTGTTCCCATCACACACAGCCCCCTGTTCCACCAGGTAGGAAACAATACACACATGTCATTTGTTCGCTATGTAATGTAACTTAACAAAGACATTGGGGTCAGTGCACAGCAGAACGTGCAGAACATGCAGAAATGTGAAATGTTCTTCAGGGAAGCATATCATTCAGCAAATGTAAAGAATAACGTTTACACAACTAACTTTAGTTACTTTTCCAAGAACAGTCGACTGTGCTAATATCTAAATGATAACTATGAAATTACACTTTCTTTAATTGAAATTCCTATTGAACATGTTAGGAAATGACCTACCCGTAAAGAAAGTGTTACTGATGTTGAAATGTTGGTGAATTGCTTTTCTCAATGTTTAGCTCTTATTTATTCCCTTTTTTGTGCTTTCATCTGATAGCAATAGTGAAGAGAGGATTTGTGCTCATCTGGTATGTTCTCTAACCATGAGTCCATGGGTTTGTGTGGAAAAAGTACCTTTTTAAAGTACTTGTATTTTCAAATTGATTTGCCTAAAAGAAACTCCATCCTTGCATAAGGTCAATTTGTGATGAAATTTAGGATCACTTTGTCTATAAAGGCACTATTGTGGTCAGGCAATGGTTTCAAGTATCAGAGGATCCACACATCAATATATTAAATGAAATATTAATCGTATCAAACACCAATGCTTGTTCTTGATATTTTAGGCCCAACCGTATGACTACTCTGAGGCGACGCAGCAGGCCATCTCCTTCCACAAACACTGGAACATAGATCCTGTGGTCGTCTACAAACACTGGCTGCAGGACACACAGCCACGAGATGAACTGTAGAAACACCGTCAGAATGAACTGAGGCCAACAGCGGCATTATTTGCACCTCAGCCACTATCTGCCCATGTCAAAGGCAGATTTAGAAAATATATTGCACCTGATTGCATTTATCTGTGAGGCAAAGTATTAGTGTTGCTTGTGCAGCAAGAACAAAGTATGCAAAAACATTAGAGAACAATTTAAATGCTGCACATCCTAACGCACAAAGAGAAGAAACATTCCTAAAAACAACCAAGACAGTCTTTTTGTTTTTGCAGTGAGGTTAATTTGCATAAATTGGGACACATTTTGTGCCAAAGATATGCATATTACCTCATTTAAATATATGCTAATAGCACAGAAACGAGGAGATTCTGGTTGCCCTCACTGCAGTTGAGATGTGTATTTTCCTTTGCCGATACTTTGAGAATAACTGTTTCTTTATTTCTTATTCTTATTTGTGCAGGTGTTGCGCATAATCCTTCGTGAAATTGCATATGTAAACCGAACATTGAATCAAATTTGCACAACAGCAAAGAGCTAAAAATGTGCAAATACGCGGCAACCGATAATACTAACTTCCAATTCCCTGAGTAATTGGACTTGTTGACATCAGTACAGTGTGTAAGCCTCTTCTTGTGCCTGTCAGCCATTAGAGGGGCTGCATCTTAACAATGGTCACCACTTTGTGTGTGTGTGTGTGTGTGTGTTTGAATGTTGCAAAATGAACAGAGTGATTAATTTTTATGAAGTTGTAATGACAGTATTTCTGCATGAAATAGAATTAAAATATTAATCTCAGAACTGTAGAAAATGTAACAAAATCCTAGGCAATTGTAAAATATGAAATGTAACCTCATTCACCAGAATGAAGCATTAAAGTGTTTTATCTCCCTGTAATGCTCATCCACAGAAGCACAATTGCTTGTCATCAGTAAAGACTAATTGGATTATTCCGGGAAGATGAATGCTGAATACATATTTATGACACCATGTCCCTTTTCTAGTATCACACAGTCTTCAAAAAGAAACTGTCTCTACGTGCAGCCCAGTGTCCCGGTTGCTATAGTAACTAGTGTCACAGTGACACACTAAGGCACTTCATAACTCGTGGGGTTTTGGCATCAATGAGAATGACTGAAAAAGTAATGGACACAAAGGCTGAGGCATGTATTATTATCAAGGAACTGAAAGCTTTGCTACAACTTTAATTGCAGTCCGTTTTGGAACTGTGCTGAGACTAAAGAAAGTGTCAGTGTGACGACGACTTGTGACTAAAACAAGACTGTGATACTCAATGTTATCTCTTTCTATTTTTTTCAGATTGTCTTAAAAGCTCAAATAACAGCAGCATTTTGTTTGTTACAACTTTGTGGCTGAGATGTGGCAGTGATTCTTCAAAGTGCAGTAATCTGGGAAGGAGGACATGATGTGTTTCCCTGTGTGAGGCATACAAACACTGTGATTCCCGCTGGCTTCACACAGTTCTGTCAGTCTGTTTTAGAAAAAGAATACACAAACAATTATTCAACTCTATGAATATTTAATTTCAAATCATAAAAACAGGTAATTCGTTTTTCAGCCGGTATTTATTTATAAAAGCAGCTGCAGAATAGCATTTTAACGCAGGCTTGCCAGCTGTGGTCTTAATTACTTTTGAACCCATCCACACTAACTAACCAAAAAACAAACAGTAATGCTGTTTATAGATAAATAACACAATTCTAAACAGCTGGAAAAGTTAGAGACTTAATCGCATAATCATATTCAACGTTAAAACCATATACACTTTTTTAAAGATTTTTGAAAAAGGTAGAAGTAGATACCAACAATGTTAAACTATTCTTAAAAAGAGTGCCTGTCTGAAAGTGAAATGAAAAATATTACTAACATAAATGAATAAAGCTCATGTTATTAACATCAAGACTAATGTAAATTATATAGTAAACGACTTGTTTGTTAATTGTTTCGGGATACAGCAACACACATACATATACACATATACTCATCATTAAGGCAGTGACATTTTCCACTCTATCTCTGTCATCCACACAAGAGGCGTTTCCAGCGCTGCATTCACAACCAACGTTTTTCTCTGCTCCACTGCTGCCTGTTCTAAACACACAGATGGTTCTTATAAGCACGCTTCAGACATCCTTTATATTTTAAATGAATATTAATCATGGTTATGTTTAATATTTCACCATATCAAATATTTTGCATCTGTTGATTTTCCTGCTTCGTGTGATTTGTTGTGATTTCAGAACATTTCTGAAAGAGAAAAATAGAGTCCAAATCATCCAGCGGGTTTTTTTTACCTACATTGTCACTTTTTTGCATTTGCTTTTGTCTAATTAGAAAGCAACTAGCAAAGTCATTTGGAAGTCATTTTTAAATCACAGGAAGTCACAATGTTAAGACTTAAAAAACGTTCGTTAACAAAAAGCGAGCTTTATTATAAAAAGCCGAAGGCATGAAAAAACAAGAAACTAATTAACAGAAACAACACCGGGGAGCACGACAGACAGGAACAAACTTACATACGGGAACAGGCAGGAGACACGGACAAGCATGGGTGACAGTGACATGAAATGACGACGAACAGAAATGGAGCACAGGGGAATCAAGATCAATCAAGATCTGGATCTGATGACTTGACAGTGGTTACTTCAGCAAACCCACCCGATACTACAACCACAAGCTCATCTTCTGGGCTGTGTTCTATCAGATGGTTTGAGAGTAGTCGAGCGAGATCTGCTTTGTTCTCTTCCAGTGCCATGAAGCTTGATCAGTCTGCTGGAAGTGGAACGTAGTCATTAACGATTTCTCTGCGTACTGGTCGGTGACGCTCTTTACGTTTCCTCCTTGTGCCCGTTTTGATGGATTCGTCATGGTACCTGTCGAAGACTACATCAACCCTCTGGTACTTCTCTCCCATCTTCAACACCGTCTCAGCAAACTTGTTGGCATAGTCACCAAATGTTGTAGTGTCAGGCGGCTTCCCAAGTGCCATTACAAGTGCTTGGCCATCAATAGCCAGGCAGCTGGGTTCCTGAAGGGGCACATCTGCAGGCGTTTGGACATGTTTTGTCAGTATATTTGCTAAAACAGACTTGTTGGTGGAATGTAGACTGCCGTTAGTTGCGGCCAGAGATGGCGGGATGGGCATGAGTTCATGCTGGAGGACATTTTCCAGGTCTACTTTACGACCTGCTCTGTAAGCTGTGACTAGCCTTTGTAGAATCTGCCTGTCCAGTTGCACAACTTCATACAAAGAGGCAAATGTCTTGGCTTTGTTCTTTCGAATGGGTGACTTCAGTCCCAAGTGCTGGTCACTAGCTGGAGGTTCACACAGACGTTTGTCCACAAACACTTTCATTTGTGCCTGTCCAAGGTGTTCTGCACCAAGCAGAGATTCTTGAATCTCCGGTGTGACTACGTCCTTGTTGATTATGTTCTTGAGTGTGTCCCCACCATCTTGAAACACACAGTGCTCTTTCAATGATACACATATTTTGCTTTCATCCCCATCGTCTCTCTCCATTCTACTCTTTGTGCACTCAGAGTGTGTGTACTCATTGTCTTCATCATCTGTCGTCATTCTCAGCATTGTTTTTGTCTGAGAAGCTATGAATGTTCTCAGATTATACGACAATGTCCATCTACAGAGGGATGTTGCTATCCTGGTGATGCCCACTAAGCCTCCACTCTTTTTTCCTGTAGCGTTTAGCCACTCAGTACTCTGATCTGCTGAAACCTGATTGAAGCGTCGATCACTGCGTTTCACCACAAAGTTGCCTTTCTGAAACTCGAGGAGGATTTCTGGTGGGAGAGCTCAGCCAGGTACACAATACCCCATCTGGCGTAGTTTATATGATCGTACCTGAAGAAGAAGGGCAGCATATACGTTTGAAAGCATACAGGTGGAGATCCCACAATCCATCACGTTGCGCTCTTGTGAAGCAGAGTAGGATGCTGACCATAGTCATGTAGTCCCACCAGAATGCGGCATTCGGGTCATCAACTGCAAGCGATGCAGCAAACTCTTTCATGGGCTGCTGGAATCTGTCTGTAGTCAGTTTGTTGACCATCTGCGCGATGTGGTCAGCATCTACGGATTGAAAGAGATCTGAGAGTTCAGCTCTCAGTGTAACATCAACCTCATCCAGATATGTGTAAAGCCGTGGGAGCAGTAGCTGCCAAAGAGCCTGTAGGGTAAGTTTGTGGGTCCTTATGGCACGTGCATACCCCTTTCCTGCCATGACATGCTGACTGAGCAGCATTTGCTCCCAGTAGATCACACTTGACCTATAGCTCGCTCAGGCCAGAATCAACCATGTGTTGTCCTATCACACCCAGGAAGTTCATGGCAATGTGAAGGCCTCCAAGGCAAGGGATAAGCACGTCCTTGTATTCTTCTACTGACCACTTCAGTTCTAGCAACTTCGGATAAAGTGCCTCGTCCACTGTCAGTATGACATGCTGTTGTTCCATTGATATGGAGATATGAAGCATTCGCTTGACAACTGTGTTCAGTGTATCGAGTTCAGATGCAGGAGCCTGGATGATAGGTAGCTAGCCTACTGCAGTTTTCTCTGGGTTGACTGTGTTTGCCTTTTGATTGTTCAATATCCAGGAAGGCATTGGTTTTTTAGATGTCCTGGACATGAAGAAGGCCATGTGTGTAGCTTGTACTTTCTGTGCTGCGGGACATTGTTCAGATGACTGTGTGAAACAGTCTTCTGCTAATACACCGCTGAATGAGCGCTCTGTGATTCCTCTTTTTGGTTTGGTTTTTTGGTTTTGTGGGTGGGGGGGGGGGCAATAGTGGGGAAGGCAAAGGTTCCATCACAGCAAATTTGAAACATTTAACCTCAAAACAATATACAAAGTAAGTAAAAGTAGCCTGATAATAATAATAGCTGAGTAATTATTCATAGTTAAAAACTACTATTTTTGCAATATATATGAGATCTAAGCAGTTTATTCACATTACATCTCAAATCTGAATATGGCATCAGATTGCCCATGTAGGAGAACTTACAAAAGCACATTTAATTCAAGTTTGTACCTTGTTTAGTCAAAAATATATACTTAAAATAGATTTCAGGCTGGTGGTGGATGTGTTGGATTTCTCAATTTTGAGGCATTCTGGGCGCCTCCCTAGGGAGGTGTTCCAGGCACGTCCAGCTGGGAAGAGACCAAGGGGTAGACCTAGGACCAGGTGGAGGGATTATATCTCTTCGCTGGCCTGGGAGCGCCTTGGGATCCCCCAGTCAGAGCTGGTTGATGTCGCCAGGGAAAAGAAAGTTTGGGGCTCTCTGCTGGAACTGCTACCCCCGCGACCCGACCACGGATAAGCGGAAGAAGATGGATGGATGGATGGAGGCATTTTGGGACATTTTTGAGCTTCATATACAGCAGATTTGGATTCAGCACCCCTTAATTCCCCTAGAAATGTTGCATAGCATAAATAAACACAAAATGCCTTCGGGGTTCTGATTTTGTGAAAATTGACCCTGTCTACTACAGCAGAATGATACATGCCTCAGCCTTTGTGTGATCTTACTAAATAAGTAAAAATCTATTTTTTGTTTGGAAACCGTGTTATATTTCAGACCAGAAAGAAAAAGCGAGACTTTTACATTTCATGGTTTCATGTTGGCACCCCTTAGTGTTGAATTTGTTATTAAAAATATCAGTCTTCCAGTTAACAGTATATCAATCCAAAACAGATAGGTATGCAAAAATATGATTGGCATAAATAACCTCCTTGGCTCTCTTGTCTGTATGAATCACAGTCCATACAGACAAGACATTCATTTTCTTTTCAAAATTGTTATGCATACATTTTAACAACCTTGAATAACTGCGATTCTGGGAACCGGCTCTATATCCTCACTGCTTCACTTCTGTGCGGGAGTACAGAACTAAAACCATGACAAATGTATTGATGGTCTGTGGCTGTAGGGCTTGTTGCGTCAATTTATTTCTCTGGAAAACCTAATTAAACAAAACAGAATTGAATTGCTAAGACATGCTCCAGAGGCTGTCAAAGGTCCTCATAAAAAGGTTCGGGAATAACTTATTGAGGCAGAAGCACAAGAGTCACTTTATTACCAAACCCCTGGAATTACTGAACCATGTTCACTATTATATATAGTTGGGAGTGTAATTCATGAAAACAAGAGATGCTACTGTTCAGTAAATCAACCAGTCTTTCAGTCAGCCTCGCTTCAAAGAAACCACTTCGTTGTCTTTTCTGTTGTTTCATCCACAAACATGAGAAAAACCACAGGGGAATTTTGCACAGCCCTCATCAGTCAGTGTTGGTTCCACATCTGAAGAATTTTAGTCTCGCTGATCCGTCTGCTCTCTCTGGCTGGCCTGCGGAGAACCGAGGCACTGATTTCTTCTTTTTTTTTGGCATAAAACTAAAGTCAGAGAGGGATTCAGTTCAGAAATGGACAAAGAAGACGGCATCATATTAATGTCATGTATATGAAGCTGTATTATATCAATATTAAAAACAAGAAAGATGGCAGATAAGATGGCGTAGACCTGAATGTGGAAAATGCATGAGAACAGAGGCAATGTCTATATTATAGCGATAATGAGCACAGTAAATCACAGGAAGATGGAGACATGATTGTTACCCAAAACTGAACTCATGGTCCTTGTTTATTGAGTGTTTCCATAAACATACAATTGCGTTCAAACATAAAAAACAATTAACGTATAGCTCAATGCAACTTTGCAACACGACAGTCTATTTTACTGCAACCATGCTTTTATCTACTGCTATGCTGCTCATTTGATTCACTGCTGTTAACATATGGCTTACACTTTTACTACTTGTCAGATAGCATTTTGTATTCACTTTGAGCTGCCAACAGTTCCCAGAAGGCTTTATGCAGAAA